TATCTCAATGACGTAGTTTAACTAAATTAAAATTGACATTTGAAAATGTTTTAATAAATTAAATTAATAATAAGAACTAAAAAAAATAGTGAAAATATAAAGAATAGAAAAAAAAAAGTATTGTTTTAAGTAACTAAAACTAAAAATTTGTTAAATTGCAAGGATAAAAAAATTATTTAAGATATTAATTTAAAAAAAATTAATCTGAGTCAGTTGATAAAGCATGAGCAAGTCTAATCTTAACAAGTAATCAACCAGCGTCTACACGACTTGTCGTTTTCACTCTTCGTGAGGCGAACTCTTCAAATAACAACCTATTCAACTTGGTCGCAAATTGCAAAGCACCGTTCTGCATTAACGTGTGATATAAAACAATATAAAAATTAGATTAATTAACGTGTGCATCTAAAAAATGAAAACATTTGGTAAATATAATATAATATACCGTTTTATGAATAAAGCTATGTTTGATGGACAAAATATTTGTAGGTAAGGGCATTGTTGTTTGCTAGTAGTGGTTATGGAGGAGACATCCCATTAAATATAAGACTAGTTTTAGGTTAAAATGTACACAAAAAATGAAAATGTTGGTTGGTGTATCATTTTTAAGATTCCCTATCATGGACTTGGTGGATACTACGTCTACTTCCCTATGAAAATTTATACATCACCAGAAATATATAATAAGCTCTCTTCTTTATACCCTTTTTTATTTCTTTTAGATCACAACTCCTTAGAACAAAATTATTCAATTCTAAAGTTGCCTAATATTCCTTTCAATGTCTGGTTATGGTGTTTTCGTTGTCTTTATTTAACTTCAATTAACATTAATTCACATTTGTGCCATAAACCCAATGGGGCCATTGCCACTTAATTCGTTAACTAATTTTTTAGGAGATTGTTTTTTATACCTCTCCTTTTTGCATTATTTCTAACATTTTAATTCCAAACATATATTAAACTTTTTATATTCAATTTCTAGAAATGATATGGAAAAGCTCATACAAAATCTTTTTTCAACTCTCTTTCTTATTAAAAAAAATAATATGTTTCCATTTAGATTTATATCCTATGGTTATAAACGATTAGAATACTTTCATAATTGGTGAATTTCAAATGAATAAAGTTTTGAATAAATGCTAATTTTAGTCTATTAAATTATAAATGTTCATTACTTTATAGCCTATTCGTCATGCATGCAGCAGAAATTGATTGTTTTGGAAGTCAAAATATTCAACGTCGATCAATGTATTTTGGTTTTTGCAATAATTAATCTATCTATAACTTTTTATTGTCTCGTTCATAATCGATTATAAGTGTGTAGTATTTAAACTTACAAGAGTTTTAGATTTTTTAAAAATATTCAATTTGCTCTTGTTTAAAAAACACTAAAATAAATGTCATTCTTTAAAATGAAGAATTATAACATTTTTTTTACAAAATAAAAAATAGAAGTGATTAACACATATAATTAAAAAGTTAAAATAAATATATACTCATAAAATTTTACATTGGTCAATAATATAGTCTATTGCTACAGAGAAACCGAAAGAGGGACTCCAAGGAGAGGATCCAAACTTATAACATGTTTTAAACTGCATTTTAACATGCTTTAACTTAGAATAACATCAAAATTATAACTAATAATATCAGAATAAGTGTCCATTTATGATTTATCAAAATAATATAAATCTAAATAAACATTGTACTGTCAATGTATGTGGAGAAAAAGATAAAATTATATCCTTTCATGTTTTTTTTTATTATAATTATTATTTCTCCATGGGTTACAAAGTTTGGTGTTCCCCCAACAGTGCTAATAATTTGATTTGTCTTGATTTGGTTTCTTTGACTCAAAAAGGAATCTTTTTCCCCTTTAAATCCCTTTAACTAATTAGTATGATTAAATAAGAAATTGGGTACTGGCTTTCTATAATTGAGACATGAGGGTGCTATGTTTGGTTTTGAAAAGATAAGAGGGAACATGTAGATTGTAGTGTTTATATAGTATTTAGGTTTATATAGTATTTAGGTTACTTTTTCTTAGATTTTGGGATTAACTCCTATTTGAGTGTATGATTTAGACCCATGATTTCAATAATTAATGTGCATTATGCAAAGCTTTTAATAAAGAGTTCTTCAGTCTTTTTTTAGTTACTTTCAGTTCTTATTTTGGAGGAATTCTTCCGTATATATAGTGTGCCACACATCATTTTTCAAACACTTAAATTATTATTAAATATACTGATACTTTCAAATAGATTAGTTAAGTTTTAAGTTTAAACTATAAGTGTCTTTTTCCAAGAGATGATCTTACTAAATATAAATTTAGTAAAATATAACTTGAATCTAACTATACTAGCAAATAATATTTTAAATAATGATTTGATTCAAATCCACATTTTAATCTATATTTGTGTCATTAGATGGTGAATTGTTGCTAAATCTGATGACATATTATATATATAAAGAAAAAGTATATATATATTTTTTATAAATAGATGATGTAGAAGCTTATTTATATTATATCTTGTACTTTAACTAGTATTTGAAAATAATGATGAAAAAGACCAGAGTGTGTTGTTGGATGAAGCCAAACCTTTCACAAGAGTGAAATATGAATTATAAACCATTTAAAACACATTATTTTATAAATCTAAATTGTCTCTGAATTTGTGTAGGGGCTATAAAATACTATTTCTTTCATGAAAAAAAATACAAAACCAACAGCTCCATTCCAATTTTATTAAGATATTTGTAAATTTCAATATCATTCAATAATTTTAAATAAAACAAAAGCACAAACTATATATGCATTGTGTCAGCTTAAAAATATCCTCAAATCACGTTATCTACCTGTCAACAAAATCCAATCTCGACTTGCTCCATCTTTTTCATAATTCTCTCACTAATTATTTCTTTTCTCATTTTCTTCATCTTAAGGAATCATATCGAATAAACTATTTTGATCTATAAAATTATAAATATTGATCACTTTAGTTTATTTTATGGAATTTTACTCTAAATAATGGAATTATTATTTTAATTCTTCAAAAAAATATCAATAAAAATTAAAGTAAACAAATATTAAAATATTAAGAATTAAAATAAATTTTTTTACAATTAATAATTAAAACTATCAATGCTTATAATCCTTTCTTTTGGAGTGAAAATGAATGTTTGTATCTTAATGACTAAAATAACAGTTGATTCAAATTATATCACCCCAAATATATAAATCAATTAAGTAAAAGGGTTATTGGGCAAAGTATATTTATAATCCTCATAAAATTACTAAAAATATATTTAACTCAAAATTATTCTAATTTATTTAATAATTTTGAGTTAATCTTAAAAACACCACAATATAAAAATTGATAAAATAATATTTTATATATATATAAAGAATGATATGATGAGAGAATATGTAACTTTTGAGAAGTGGGCCCGGGCCCGGCCCACGTCGGCGGCTGGGTATGAGGGGCCCATGAAAGGTGCTAACGAGTCACCAGCCTCAATGCAGCTGGATGTGGTCCACGTGGACGCCCACTTTCAACCAATCATATCACTCGCTGTGCTTTCACCTTTTGCCACGCGTCAACATTCACCTCCTAACATACGACCGCACGGTCATCTTATCATTTCCCCAGTCTTTTCGCGTCCAAAAGCCGTTAATCCCGCCACCCTATGCTTCTTACGTTTCAACCGCAACTTCACAACTCAAATCAAAATATAAAAATCAATTCATAATTATTGTGTAACCCAAAATAATAATAATAATAATAACAACAACAACATCCTCTCAATTATCCACTTTGATTTTCTTTTCTTTTCCAATTTTTTGTTGATGATCTGTTCAAACAAATATTTTAGCTTTGTAATATTTTTCTATATATTTGACTAAATAATAATGGTTTTATGTCTTTTAGTATACATAATTTAAGAGGTAACTATTAAATATTTATTAATCATTTACTCTTACAATAAATATTTGGAATTTGAAAAATATAATAAATAAGATAAGATAGTTGACTTTGTTGTTAACCATGCCAAACCTTGTGATAATCAAGTGTGGCTTAAGGAACAATGATTTATATATGTATACTTCTTTTTTTTTTCCGTTTCTAATTTGGCTTAAGATGCTGCTAATCAAGTAAGGTATTTCTTTTCACATGAGAAAAATCAATCAATAATTAATAAATGGTTGAGAATAGATAAAAGACAATGCATGCATTTGAATATCTGGCAACAATCCTTAATTGATACTTTGGAAAATTTTGAATTCTTTTATAAGAATGATAAAGCAGTTGAAGTTGAAGATGAAGGGAAAAAGGTGGGAGAGAGGTCACCTTCTTGGTTTTGCTTCAACATTCCAACTCTGAGCAACAAGTACAACTCTTACACATGCAAATTATCTAGAAAATCCCAATAATTTCAACTCTAATTCCCATTATACCCTTCACATTTCCCCAAAATCCCATAACCTGCCACTAGTCTTCTTCCACACCCCACATGAATATATATAAATGCATGCCACTACAAATGGTACAGCTATATTGACCCATTTCCCTTCATCTGTAGTATATAACACCCTTACGAGCAAGCAACCTTGGAAAGTTTTGGCTTTTATTCTTCGGAGAGTACTAAAGGTAACACCTCATTCATTGTCCCTCGTGTGTTTCTATTTTTTGTTGATGGATTAATGTCTTCTGTGACACCCTTTTTGTGTGTCTTCTCAATGAGGTTTGGTGCTGCATTTTCATTGCTTTTAGCTATTTCTATCAACATGTTTTGTATGTTTGTTGATTGCTATGATCCTAAGTTCCTAACCTTGTTTCACATTGGTTTATTTGTTGTTCTGAGTTTGATTATGACAATGATGGAGTTTCAGAAACTTCTTTTTTTTTTGTGCGTTGTGATGTGATTGTGCATAAGGAGCATCTGGGAAGAAGCAATGTCACGCAATCAAACAGATGGAATATTTTTGGTTGCTTTTGGCTTTTCTTCTTTTTCTTTTCTTTTTGGTTTGCTGTGATGGGTTATAAAGTTTGATTCATTTCTCTTTTGCTTTTGTTTCTTTTCTGTTTCTTCTTAGATAATTTTTTTGTAGAATATTATTAACAACCATGAAGTCATCAATGGTTTTGTGGGCTGCACCTGTAAAGTGAAAATTGGGTCTTGATTTTGTGATTGGGACCCCAAAACATTATTAATGTGTAGTGTATTCTGAACCTCCCGCAAACCTTTGGTTTTTGTTTTCCAATCTTTAGAAGAATTTCATTTTTTTTTTTTTTTTTGCTTATTCATTTTAGGTAAGGTTCTGACTATACTGTTCAATGCCTGGTTTAGCTATGGATGAATCAAATGTAAATAGTGCAGCAGAGGAACCTAGTGGGAGTTATACACCCTACAAGGAAAACTTCACTCAGCAAGCATCACCAAGGAGTACACTGAGTCCAAGAAGCATTCAGAGTGATTCAATTGATTTGGCTATTGATGGGGTGGTGGATACCTCTATTGAGCAATTGTATCACAATGTGTGTGAAATGAGGAGCTCTGATCAATCACCCTCAAGGGCTAGTTTTTACTCATATGATGGTGAGTCTAGGATTGATTCAGAACTGTGCCATCTTGTTGGAGATATTGTAGATTTGGAGATTACAAAGGAGGTGGTTACAGAGAATAGAGAGGATAGCAATGCTGAGAAAGATGTTGTGTCATTTGGGAAGGAACCTACAAAGAAGGATAATAACCAATCATCACCAACACCAAGGGTCATTGAAGGATCAGGATCAGCCAAGTCAACTCCCAGAAGCAGAAATTTTAGGCCATCCAATGACAAGAGGAATGAGAAGGGTGTCAGAAAAGCAAATGGTGTTTACCATATGCGGAAGAATAGGAACCTTGGTTTGAAGGGAATTGAAGAACGTATCGCTGCCGGGTTAGATAATCCAGACTTGGGGCCATTTTTACTCAAGCAAACAAGAGATATGATCTCTTCAGGTGAGAGTCCCCATAAAGCTCTTGATTTGGCTCTTAGAGCTTTGAAATCATTTGAGATGTGTGCAAATGGGAAACCAAGTTTAGAATTGGTCATGTGTCTGCATGTTTTGGCAACAATATACTGTAATTTAGGACAATATAGTGAGGCCATTCCCATTCTTGAGCGTTCCATTGAAATTCCTGTGTTAGAGGATGGCCAAGATCATGCACTAGCTAAGTTTGCAGGGTGCATGCAATTGGGTGATACTTATGCAATGATGGGGCAGATAGAGAATTCTATACTGTTCTATACAGCAGGTCTTGAAATTCAAAGGCAAGTCTTGGGGGAAACGGACCCAAGATTCGGTGAGACGTGTCGTTATGTGGCTGAGGCACATGTTCAGGCACTGCAGTTTGATGAGGCTGAGAAGCTTTGTCAAATGGCTCTTGATATTCATAGGGGAAATGGGTCTCCTGCTTCCATTGAAGAAGCAGCAGATAGGAGACTAATGGGGCTTATCTGTGACTCAAAGGGTGATTATGAAGCTGCTCTAGAGCATTATGTTTTAGCAAGCATGGCCATGGCAGCAAATGGCCAGGAAGTAGATGTGGCAGCAGTTGATTGCAGCATAGGTGATGCCTATCTGGCGTTGGCACGCTACGACGAGGCAGTGTTTTCTTATCAGAAAGCACTCACTGTGTTCAAATCAACCAAAGGAGAGAATCATCCAACAGTTGCTTCAGTCTATGTCAGGTTAGCTGATCTGTATAACAAAATAGGGAAATTCAAGGAATCAAAGTCTTATTGTGAAAATGCACTCAGAATTTTTGGTAAGACCAACCCTGGAATTCCCTTAGAAGAGATTGCTAGTGGTTTAATAGATGTTGCTGCCATCTATCAATCCATGAATGATTTGAAGAAGGGATTGAAGTTACTCAAAAAGGCCTTGAAGATATATGGAAATGCTCCTGGTCAACAAAGTACTGTTGCAGGAATTGAGGCCCAAATGGGGGTTATGTATTACATGCTAGGGAACTATTCTGATTCTTACAACATCTTCAAAAGCGCCATTACCAAATTCCGTGCCAGCGGAGAGAAGAAATCTGCTTTGTTTGGAATTGCTTTGAACCAAATGGGCCTTGCCTGTGTGCAGTGTTATGCTATAAATGAGGCAGCTGATTTGTTTGAAGAGGCCAGGACTATATTGGAAAAAGAGTATGGTCCATATCACCCTGACACCTTAGGGGTCTACAGCAATCTAGCAGGCACCTATGATGCAATGGGAAGGTAACATGTTCATTGTCCCCTAACTCTCCTTAGTCCTTGTTGTTCTTGTCTGAAAATAGTACATGTCTAAGAGCATTATGGTATTTGTCAGTTGTCATTATTACTTTCTTGATCACTTTTGTTTACAACTTCATGTAGTATAAGAGCACTGAATTTTCAGGCTATAATTGCTCATATTTCTTGTTGGTTTGTAATGATTTGCAGAGTGGATGATGCCATTGAAATTTTGGAATATGTAGTTGGCATGAGAGAAGAGAAGCTTGGAACAGCAAATCCTGATGTGGATGATGAGAAGCGTAGGTTGGAAGAGTTGTTGAAAGAAGCAGGCAGAGCCAGGAACAGGAAATCAAGAAGATCACTGGAAACTCTTCTTGATACCAAATCTCAGCTTATAAAAGACAATGGCATTAAGGTCCTATAAAGCCGGGGATGTATATAAAACACCATCAGATTAACTGGTTTGCTTATTTTGATCATTGCTTGCAAATTTGGCCAAAAACAATAACAAAGTGGAAATAGGTTCCACTTCTTCCATTTGTTCATTGGTAAAGGATATGCTCACAAAAGTTACTTCGTATGTCTATTTACTATAGTGCAGAGGAAATTTCGGTTAATCATATTTCTCTTTGTATAATTGGATTAATAAATGGTGTAAAATCATTTTTCTATGTAAACAATGGATGTTGCAACTTAATTTTCTCTGCTGGTACACCAAACATCCTATTAGAAAATTCAGTTGCTTCTAACCATGTTTGAGATGCAACCATATTTTTATAAGTTCACATGTTACAGTCAAGGATCTTATGAACGTGACAAGCATGAATATGACTCTGAAGACTTCAGAGCCCTTGCTGTAAGTGACATCATAGATTAAAAGAACCCGTGTTCTATGCTTACATTGTAATACAAGACAAAAACAATTCTGGGCTGCATTCATTTGCGTAAAAATCTTACTTGCCCGTCTCTTGATCAATAAATTTTATATAATATTAAATTAACACCGAGGACTACAACAACCAAGCCTTTTCTAATTAGGTGAATTCAGATCACACAAAAACAACTGAGTCAAAAATCAAATTCTTTTAAGATATTATTTACCAAAAGATCCTTTTAATAATTTCTTGTAAAGTTTTTGTAGGTCTCCCTCTGTCCCTTTTCACTGGACAAAAAATCATACCATCCATTTTCCTTTCTTTTAGTCCAAATTACCACTGGACTAAGTGAATGAAATATGAAACAGTTGTGACAAAAACCAAGTCTCCAGCTTAAAAGAGATATCAGATATTCGCGAGAATCCTATTATTTAAGTTAACTGAACTATTAATTCTTGTTTTCCAGTCCTTTAAAGATGCATATATTTGTCTTGTTTTCCAAAGTGAAGTTGCATTTGCTTACACACACAGACCATTAATTATGACATGTTCTTTCTCGTGCGCATCTCCCCATTTGTTGGAACACAAATCGCTTGCTCATTGAAACAACAACGTGAAAATCCACAAAACAAGTGAGTAGTTAATATCATATTAATTGAATTTGGCTCAGGAACATGCCTACCCAATTGGAACTGGTGGGTCAGAGAAGGATAGAGAATGTGTTTAGCAATCCATTGATTTTGTGATTGAGAGTAGTGTAATCCATCATAGTAAACATGTTGAGAAGGATTTTTTTTGCATGCATTGCCATTACCGCTCCATTTACTATGCCTTTTTCTCCACAAATTGTGTGGTAAGCGCCACAGCAGTCCCAATGGATTGACAAAACCAGCCCCAAAATGAAGCATAAAAGTTAATCATGCAGTGATTAATTTGATGATATCCAAAACAATGCATTCCACTCAATGATGTGAGTTTGGAGACTTGAACACCACCTTGGCTCCTTAAGTTTGCACAATGCATATAATTGGATCCAACAGAGTTCAAATATGCACTTCCATAGTCCAATAAGTGAAAAAGTTGTCTATGTAATTGATACATATGAAGTAAAACACAACTAAGCCCAAGCCTATGAGTTATCTGTGGTTGTGAATCTGTGAAGGGAAGAACATATTATATTCTGCCTATTTATAAAATCTATAATGAGATGGCCAACACAAGCTCTTCCTGAGAAATTTCCAAAAAAGCTTATGCCATTGGAGGATGCAACTCTTATAAGCTGCAAATGTGGCTCCATTGTCTAAATTCGAGTCACCAAAGTTATATAAATAGCCGGGTACCAACATTTGCTAGAATTAGAACCTTTACCACTCGAGACATGAATAAATGTGCATGTCACACAAAGATTGAAATACCAAGTACATAATTCAGCCTCCAATAATTCTTGGTTGAAGTACAATCATTAAGGTTTAATAATTAGTTTGAAACTTCCTTCCAAAAAGGTGGTCCTCTACGAATCAATAGGGATCAGAAAGTAGCCTCCTCAGACTTCAGTGAGGCACTCTCTGTCTTGACAACTTTAAAAACATTTTATATCACCTATAATTTTGTTGCAATAAGGTTATTCAAACATAAATATTTTGTTTCAATAAGGATATTCAAAATGGCCCTTAGTATCTTATGTATTTATGTTCTCCATCTTTTTAGCCTTTGATCATCCGTTTATCTTTAATATTAATGGTGCGTAGTCTCTAATTTCAACAAACATTATTCATTCCCCTACTTAATCATTTTATTGATGTAAATTTAGTAATTAAAAAACAAGTCTAACACCATAAGCTATCGAATGGAAAGATATTTTGAGAAATCAAAATCCCTTCTTATTCATCAGCACAAAAATATCCACATCCCCTAATGTACTGGGATAGAGAATATTCACCTTACATAATTCATCGCATTAAAAGTATTTCATTTATTGTGTGTGGGAGGGGTCCCTTTACTCTACGTGATGGGCACTTGAGCCTTTACTGTGTGAAAGCACAATTTAAAATCAAGTTACATTTGCTATCTCACAACATCAATTATGTGACATAAACAACGTGAAGACTCATATAATATCTGGTACTCTATATCATATCAAGAGACTAGCTAGTAATGCATCAATTGAATGAATGATGCTCAGAAACATGCTTGCCCAATTGGAACTGGTGGATCAGAGAAGGAGCCGTAGAGAATGTGTTTAGCAGCCCATTCATTTGCTGCTTGAGAGTAGTGTATGCCATCCCAGCTAATATGTTGAGAAGGATTTTGACATGGATTGCCATAAACTGTTCCATTTACTGTGGCTCTCTTACCACAATTTATGTGGTAACCATAGTAACTGCCACAGCAGAACTCCAATGGACTTACAAAACCTGTCACAAATCAAGCATAAAAGTTAATTGTGCAATGGCTAATTTGAAGATAACCAAAGCATCACATTCCCGTAAGTTATGTGTGACTTTAGGTTGTGTTTAGATGAAAAAATTTAAAACTCTATAGAGTATGAAATCAATAATAAAGGATGATCAAAGTGAGAATCAAGTATAAGAGTAGTTATGAATGATAATTACAAAAAAAAGAATAATAGCGAAATTTTTAAATTCTCTCAAAAGACATGTTAATTGAAATTCCTTCTATGTGATATAAAAATTATTTAGTTAAAATTCTGTGTTATTGTAAAATCACTTTTCTGTATTATCTAAATGCATGTAATGTAGTAACTTAGAGTTACTTTATCTAAATGCAACCTCAGAGACTTGAAGATCACCTTGGTTCCTTGCATTGCTAATTAGTTCATATTTGGCAGAGTACACGTCAACATATGTAAATTTGGCTAGTGGAAACTTTCTCCTTAGTTGAAACACTTGGTCCTTGAGCTGTCTGTTATATTCCTGAGCAAGCTCATTCTGAGGTTTCACACAGCCATTTGCATCCAAGTTACCCTTCTTGGGCTCATAATAAATGTAACTGTAGGGCAAGCATCCAATTGGACCTACGTTGTGAATCCAAAACACTCTTGCCCCTTCATTGTATACTTGCTAAAATATAACCATGAAATGACAAGTATTAGTTCCATAACAAAATTTTATTGTTATCTCGTATCTCACAATGAAAAACAAGGCTTTGGTGGTTGCTTACTTGCACTGCTTGGAAGAACTGGCTCAAGATTTCAGGAATTGACTTTATAACTTGTTCCTGTGAAGTGTGCTGAAGACCAAAGGCAAGATCATTTTGACCAATATCAAAGGTGTAAAGGGCCTTGGAAAAGTCCTCAGGCCTTGGAAGACTACTCTTGAAAGGTGGTTCTTTCCCTGGAATATCACACATGTTTAAGTTTCTAAGTTCAAAAACGTGTTGAAAAACCTGTAAATGTGGATCCAACACAGAAGCTACAACTAGTAGCTTTGAAGTAAACATAAATCTATACTCATTAACATACCAAACATGTTAGTAATCACTCATCTCATCAAGAATCATCTACTGCTCTTCAATTAGAAGAGAGGGAGTCAATAAAAAATATGCCATCAATTGTAGCACTTCACTAAATTCTGATTATGCTCCAGGATATTCACAGTTCTTGTTGGAAACAATATCAAAGCACATTTTCCTTAGCACAATAACAAATAATAGGCATAAACATGAAAGGAAATGTAGAGGGAAGAGACTCTAACCGCTGTCAGAAAGCTGATTGAAGAGAATCTTGGTGTGAGACTTGAACTGTATGAACTGAGACACTTGAAGGCCAAGATGGAATGGACTAAAACCACCAGGACGAATGGATGAGCCTCCTGTTGCAAAGTTTGCACCATGCCTGTAATTGGATCCAATTGAATTCAAATATGCACTAAGGTAAGGTAGCTTCAACTCTTCAGCTGCATATGTCCACACACAAACAAAAAAACAAAAGGAGATATACATAAGAAATGTATAGCATAACCAACAACCACTTCCACAGTCTAATCAGTAAGTACCTGTTGGGTTTAAACTATTTTGAAGAAATAATCCCTTGTTTTTATCAACTTCCTAATAGTTTTTTGTTGAAAAAAAAGTCATAATTTCTCCTAATTTAGGACGTGTTTGGATACACAACTTATTTAATTACTTATTCAATAAGCTCTTTTATAATGATGGATTATGACCCAATTTTAGAGAAACTAAACAAGAGAACTTCTAAACAAAAAGAAATATAAGTTATTTCTACCTTATGAGAAAAGTTTTATTTATTTTTTATACTAAATTTTTTCTTTAGAAGTTTAATAATCTGAGCCCATGGCATAAGTTTTATAATAAAACTTATTGAAATAACTTGAAAACAACTTATTTTGATAACTTGTTGAAATAAGTAAAAAGAATTTAAACAAGTCATAAACTCTTTCTATAAGCTCTTCTAAACATGCCCTAAGTGAGTAGTCAACCGGGTCAAATTTTCAGAATGACCCCAATAAAAAAGGTTGCCACTTTAATATAATACATATAAAATAAGGCTCCCACAAGCCAATGTGCTATATGTATATTGTTGAGGAGAGTGTAGACTAAGAATTGCTTACTCATAAAATCTATAATGAGACGGCCATCAGAAGCTCTTCCTGAGAGAATTCCAAAGAAGCTTATGCCATTAGGAGGCTGCACCCCAGTGAATGCTGCAGATACAGCTCCAGTGTCTGAATTTGAGTCACCAAAGTTGTATATTGCTGGGAACCAACACTTGTTGGAGTTAGAAGCATTACCAGCTGAGGCATGAGTGAATGTAAATGCCACACACAGATTGAAACACACAACAACATAAATCAGCCTCCTAGAATTCATGGTTGTGTTGGTAATCACTATATGTTTTAGTGAGAAATTTTCTCTGATAGAAGTGGTTTCCTCTGACTCTAGTGAGACAGTGACTATCTTATGCTAACTCTAAAGAACATAGGTTTATATCACCGACAATTATGTCTCAAAGATGTTACTTATACATAAGAAGTTTATGTCATGATTGTCATCATAAAAAAAATAATTAATTTTCCTTTTTATTCATCTATATTAATTGTGCAAATCTCTTGCTCTCTCTCCCTCTTTTTGGTCTGTTTTATGTTTGAAAAAGTTAAATGGACTTTTTTTTTTCGTTTTACTCTTTGTAGCTGCATCTGGAAATGCAAAATTCACAAGCAACCTCTATAACGGAGTAATCATTTTATGAATTAGATTCGTAAATTATAAGTTATACGAAGTTCTTTGAGAAGTTTCTACATTAAATTTCTTAATTTTTTTGTGATTTTTTTGGGTAAGTTTGGAAGTTTTAAAATATTTGAAGTCTGTAATGTAAAACATATGGATTAATTAGTAAAAGATTATGGATTAATTAACAAAAAATTATTTCAACTTAACTTATTATCTTGAATTTAAGTTTCAGTAAACGCAGGTTCAATTTTAACGATAGAATAAATTTTTTATATTTTTTAATCATTCAAACGCATTTTATTATTGTTCCTTTCTCTTTTTGTTTTTATGATTATTGAATTGGCATCACCAAATTTGGAACTTAAGAGTGAAGGATAAGGCTTAATGATTGGGTGTGAAGTGCCAGACAGCAGCCATGAATGCTGTTCAGAGATTCGCTACATGTCAGTCATGAAATTAAATCTTAATTCACCGCTACTAGGTTTGAATTTAAAAATGCTTTCTAGTATGAAGACGATAAGTTTGATTCACTGTTAAATAATTATTAATATTTTTATTTAAAAAATGTTAATTTCAATCTTAAGAGAGAAAGAAAAAAATTAATAATAAAATTTTATTAAAAAAATATTTATTATATTTAACATAATAAATATGTAGTTTTTTCATAAAAATTTATTATTTATAAATATTTATACTTAGATTTAAAAGTTAAAGTTAACAAAACTCTTATTTAAACTAACTCCAATTTTGATTGAATAGTATTTAAATTCATAAAAAAATTTTACAAAAATCTTTCATACCGTTTAGCATTATTTTTAAAAATTTAATATAAAAATTATAATTAACAACACTAAAATACCATTCAAACATGAATATATATATATATATATATATGTATAATTTATTTTTTTATGTAAAATATTATTGATATTGATATTATAAGAAAGAAAAATAATATTTTAGATTAGAAAAAACATAAAAGGAAATGGTAATCAAAATATTGTCACACCTTTTAAATGTGTAAACAAAGACACATAATAAAATAAATAAATAATAAAATGTTATTAAAAATATAACATTTAATAATATTAATAAATTAAATTATATAATTTTTAATAAAATATTATTATAGGTATAGATTAGAAAAACAGAATAAAAGGTTTGGGGGTCTTCAAAACCTGCACGCATAAAATGATTCAAAAGCCGCGACCAGAATTAAAGAGTAACTAGTTACAAACCCATTCGCATGACCACAATATAAAAAATACATTTTTAATTTTATATAGTTAGAAGCATACTTCAAATTACGAAATGAATATTCTCTCTCTTCAATTACACATCACAAGAAAATTTAAGTGTTATTGGATTTATGGAGCAAAAGTAAAAAAAAAAAAAAGTGTTTTTGTAGAAGGGACAAAAGTCAAAATCTTTATCTCTGTTGTAACTACAAGGCTCATAACAATTGATAATCATAGTTTCCTTATATTAATTAGTAATTAGTAATGCACTAAACAAATCCTAAAATTTAAAGCTGGGTATGTTCTACTGTAAAATGACGTAATGTGATTCAGTGAAGCAACAAAACTACCATCTTCTGCTAGTGTGATATGCTTAGTGATAGAAGGAATGTTCTACAGCATTGATTATTATACTTTATACATTTAAAATACTTTAATTCCCTAAATATTGGCCGTAAAATATTCCAAATCTTTGAGATTTGATCACAATCTGAAACTGATACATCTTGTTAGAAGGGAGATTGACCCAAATTACCTAGAGTGAACATATTTCTTGCTATAGTTAATGAAAGAAAATAAGTGAAAATAATCAGAAAACTATAAGGGAGGGGAGATATTAGACATCATGAATATTAGATTCTAGCTAATAGGCATTCCCTTTAGATGCTTATTTAACTTAACTAGATTTCAATGAGCTCTCCCTATTCATATGCAATGCCACAAACTGGAACCTCACTGGTACATGGGCTGCTTGTGTAATTGTCTAGAACTCCATGTGCTATTTATAGATGAACTTGGAAAAATGATGGTTGGAAGTCTCTTACTTTCCTCAAGATGAGGAAAATCAATGGTGTAATGTAGTCCTCGGCTCTCGTGCCGAGAAAGGGCACTGCTGATTACCAGCTTTGCACAACAAAAGAGGTTTCTCAATTCACAAATCTCAGGCACCACCATTGTAGGCTTCCATCCATGCTGAAATAAGTACTCTTCCCATTTGGCCTCTAAATTACCAATCTTTTGCTCAGCAGTCTCTAGTCTCATTGTGGACCTAACAATTCCCACGTAGTACCACATGATAGATTGCAGCTCTTTCCTCAGTTCCTTTGTCATTGATAAAATTTTGTCTTTGACATTACTTCCAAGTGACACAGGCACAACAGGTCGAGGCCACATGTTTGATGCAGTCAGATCAAGGCTAGAACTTTTCATGTGATCAACTGAGGGTTGCACGGCTCTTCGTGCAAAAACAAGTGCCTCAAGCAATGAGTTGCTAGCAAGTCTGTTTGCTCCATGCAAACCTGTGCATGCTACTTCACCAGCTACATAGAGACCTTGGACATTTGTCTCTCCTTGGAGCCTGGCTCGAACTCCTCCACACATGTAATGAGCAGCTGGAACAACTGGAATTGGATGATGTGTTATATCCAAACCATGCTGGAGACACATAGAAGCAATGTTGGGAAAGTGTGAGAGAATTTCCTCCTTGGGCTTGTGACTTATATCAAGGAGCACATACTTCTCATTGCGCTTTTTAAGTTGGTCGTCTATGCTTCTTGCCACCACATCCCTTGGAGCAAGCTCTGCCCTCTCATCATACAAGGGCATGAATCTTTCCATGCCTAAATTATAAAGGATACCCCCGTCACCTCGGACAGCTTCGGATATCAGAAATGCATTTTCCCTTGGCTTGGTTGGTTTAATAGGAAGCCCTTCGTCAGCTAAGGCAGTTGGATGGAACTGCACAAACCTGGGCCAGGCATGATTGAAAAGTTGAAAGTCACAAGAATGAAATAGGATACAATAAGCTGATAAGCTCCATCATATGTATCAGGGGTGAATGTGCAGCTTATAATAGAATACTACATAGATCACATATTAAACTCCCAAGCTTTGTAGACTATATTGCCTATTTACATTTCTTTTAAGAGAATTAAGTAATACAAAAATATGCCCCCAACATAGTAGCCTATCCAATTCTGTAATTGATAGAGGCAGTTAAGTTGCTCCTTAATTTGCACTTAAATGCAACTAAGTTGGTTATTCATGTTCTTATATCATAAAAATACTGCAAGATATCACATTTATCCTCAAACACTACCAGTGTCACTTTATGGTTTATTCAGTATGACTGGCATGACAGATTCATTTAACAATAAATATTCACTGTGTTGAAATAATCCACTCACTCCATGTTGGAAATCACAGCTTGAGCCCGGTGTGCCATGGCAATTCCATCTCCGGTGGCTACCTGGGATTAGAAAAGTAAGTTAAATTAACATGCAAATAAAACTTGCCCTATGATGTAGGTAACACAAGCATAAACAGGTTGATAGATTAAGGATGTAACCAGAATGAGATGGTTCATTTCAATACTACTATGAACAATACAAGGTGAAAATTAAACCAATTAATGGCTCAAAATTTTTAGCTTCAAGTAGACTGCATTTCTCACTGATTTTTATTTATACCTTTATCATTGCATGGTAAAATTTTTAGTGTATCATCCAAGCAAATTAATGACCTGTTATGAGTAAGTTAGTAACAATAATAATGGGTCACTTATTTGCAAATTTTTTCTTCAAGATAATGTTATAGCATCATTAATGAGTTCAGTTATTGTAATAAAACTGCATCATAAACTCTTGCTATAATATTCCAATTTCAATCATGATTATGTTCTTAAATACTTAAAATATAAAATAAACCAAGCAGCAAATGGGAAATGAGAACTCAAGCTCCAGAAAAAGAGGACTACCAGAGGATTTGTAGTTTTAGGATAAATATGTCCAGCTCCGCCTGACGCAAGTAAAGTCACCTTAGAAAGAAATCTTACCACCTAGAAGCTAAAAAAGTGAAATTTCAGAAAATGTATTCAAAGTGATTTTCTTCTAAAAAAACACACACAATTGCTTTTCCCACCTCTAGAGTTTCAGTATTCAGTGTGTCAACACCGAGACAAATTATATCAGATCCATCCTGCAGCACCAGTGACATGTTTTAGTATTGTGAATACATCTAAACATTCCCAATGCTCTAATGTCAAATTTGGATACGGAAGATTCAAAAGAAAAAAAAAACCATGAAAACTTATAAATTAAAACTTCTAAATATTTCTCCAATGCCAGCACACCTGCATGCTAGCAACACCACATATGATGCTACAAAACCTTTTAGTATACCAAAAGAAAAGAAAATATAATTCTAGAGACAACAAACCTGACAAGTGAGAAGATCTATTGCAAAATGGTGCTCAAACACAAAAATATTCGGATTGTTAACAACTGCCTTCAGTAGAGCACGTTCAATCTCTCTTCCTGTCATATCAGCAGCATGAACAATCCTACGATGTGAATGACCCCCCTCCCTCATAAGATGCAAATTACCATCTTCCCCATAATCAAAAGATGTGCCCATAGCAATTAGTTCTCTGACTCTTTCAGGTCCTTCGGTACAGACAACCTAGAAATGAAGAATCAAAGTTAATGAAATGCACAACACAGATGTCATAGAAACTAGTGATTCATTATATATAACTCAAAGGTTCAAGGACCATTCTCACATGTTCAAATTAAACATTTCCAAAGAATTAAAAGCAGAACGCTTGTTGTTTACACAAATTAACAATTCACTAGAAATTTGTGCTTATCAATTGCGAAAAGGAATCAAGTAAATGAATTGCATTTCAAATTCAAAATATCTTTTTATTTAATCTTGTTAGAACAAAACACTATATCAGCAAATGGAAATAAACATTGAAAAAATGAAAATACGGTTCATAAAACAACTTAAAAATAATCATTCTTCTGCAGCTTAAGGCATATTAAGATGTATTTGGTTGTAAGAATGATTTACAATGTAAATTTAACAGGTCTAGAACATACTCGGACACTTTCCTCATCACAAAGATATGCCCCGGCCACAATGGTATCCTTCATGTGACTCTCCACAGAATCTGAAGGGCATAGCACAGCACTAACACCACCTTGTGCATAATTAGTGTTGCATTCATGAGACTCAGCCTTGGTTATCACTGCAACAGATCCATATTTTGCAACTTCAAGCGCATAGCGGAGGCCAGCAATTCCACTCCCAATGACAGCAAAGTCAAAGTATTTTGTGGGATTGTCTTTTTTGCATGATGAAATGACTTTGAAGAGTTTCCGATTCTTATCAAGTGGAGGTACAGAAAACCTACATCTGTGTATCTGCAGGGCCTTGGATACCGCTTTAGACCTAAAATTTTGCACCCCAAAACAATGAAAATATTTAATCAAGCTAAGAATGAATCATAAGTGAAGATCCATTTCCATTCAATATTTCTAATCAATATTACTACGGAGACTTTTTTCTTTACTGAAAGGGTGATTTCTAGCCAGCTCCCACAACTTGTTTCACACAACACAGATATAAAAGTAAACACTGGGAGATGATAACTTTATCTAAATCAAGATTCCAACTTGTCAACCCTGAACAACCAACCAGAGCCAAATACGCTTAGGATTTTGCAAATATAAACAATATTCTGCATACAGGTAAAATTCATTAGAAACAATTCTATACTCTAGCAAAGAAACAAGTATTCCTTTTAAAGGCATTTTGTCATAGCAAGATATGAGAACTCTACTAGTGTGATTCCTGGATCGAAATCTTCTAAACATATCTCGGAATAAAACTATAAGTCAAAGTTATAACAACAATAAAAATCATATGATTTTATGCAAACGAGTAAAACTTCCCTCAACAACACTAGAGAAGCAAAGAAGAACTCTTTTTTAGACATCAAAACACAGTGAGACATGAAAACTACTAGTACAAATATGATTCATGGATTAAAATTTTTACCACGACAGATTGTTTGGTAAGAATCTCTTGGAAGGCAAATCAGAAACCCAAACAGTCCTTCCACAGCTTTGTCCTTTGCAGTTTGTCAATCTATAATGCAGTGTGCCACTTCCAGAAGGTACACAAGTTGCCATTGCAATGCCCTCTGTACAAAAAGCACAAAGAGGTTAAATTAAAGAAAAACTACAAACGAGAACACCTTCACAGGTCAAAGAATGAACGGCTTCCACTGAGAGAGGAAAATGTGGATCCACCAAATCAATAGCGACACTTGGTAAAAACCAGTGACATAACAAGGTTAACAAAGGCATAAACAAAACACCATGATCTCAAACAGTCCAAATCAATGTAAAATTATTATCAAAAACAATGAGCCATGCTGAACCAAAATGAAAGCTCATAACGTGCGAATTCTTATTCAAAAAATGAGAGTTAAAATTATTGTAAAATACAAGAAATTAATTATAAAAAAAAAAACTAAAAATTGCCTCTTTCCGCCTCCCCAGATGAAAAAGAAGAAAAAACAATTTTAGGAAACACCCAACAGGCTAAGAAAATTCAATTTTTCACCTTACCCAGATAGCTAAGTACTACTCAAATTTCATAAACTAAAAAACGAACAAGTTTTTCAAACACGGTTGCAGAGAGGTTCAAAAAGAGAAGTGGGTTATATTCAGTTGAACGACTCCCTCGGAAAAAAAAAATCACCTTCCAAAAGTTTAGGATAAAAAATTGTTTAAATATATGTTTGGATTCACGTTTAGTTGCAGCTTTTCAGTTAACATGATTTTAAAGCATGTCCCAACAAGAAGCAAGTTTTGCAACAACGTTAAAAACTAAAGACAACCCAACAACGTTGAGGTTTTGGTGATGATCATGGAATTGAACATATAGAAATGCTAAGGAAGAGAAAGCAGCATACCTTGTTCTTCTCCTGTCAGAGTGAGAAAAACAAAGGACACTACAATCTGGGTCGCGTTGCTTTGCAGAAAATGAATCTACAGATTCCTAGTATCTGTCCTCATATATTAAATTTAATAATAATAATAAAAAAAAAAAGGATCTTTGAATAAGAAATTAGAACTAGAGGCGGTCAAGACCGTAACACTGAGTACTGTAATATAATATTATTAATCACTATCAATTCACGTTAGATCCTAAACTTTAATTTAATAATCTTTTACAAAATATAAAATTAACCAATTTAATCATTAATTTAATTTTAATTATAAAATATTAAAATTAATAAATATTTATTATATTATTTTAATTTAACCGATATTATATTTTTAAAACATATGTATAAAAATAATATGCCTTTTATATTATATATTATATTATAAAAATAAAGATAAAGAACAAAAATAAAACAAAAGGAGGATCGAATGGGCTGGCTATACGTATAACGTTCCCGAGGCGCCACGCGCCCATCTTCATGGGGTCCTCGTTCGTTTCTGATCTTTTTTGTTTTTTATTCTTTTTTTCTGTTTTCTAAAAAGTTTTAAGCCGTTAAAATTTATGTTGGAAAGATAATTGTAGAATAAATTTATATATTTTTATATCATAATTTAAGTAAATAATAATAAATATATAATATGACAAAATAAAAAAAATATTGAGAAATTTAAATTAATATTACATGTAAAGAGAAAGATCTAATTGCAGCAGTGTAAATTTAAAAAAATTTATATTTAATTTTAATTTTTTATTTAACTTAAATTTAATGATCAGCAGAGTGATAAATAAAAAGTTTAAATTAAATGTAAAAACTTTTATATTTAAACTAGTGTAAAAAGATTCTACTTTTATATATATATATATATATATATATATATATATATATATATATACTTATCTTATAATATAATTTAAACATAACAATATTTAAAAAATACTTTTTAAAATAATTAAAAATACTTAACCATTGTCTTAATAACAAATTTTTTTTTATGGATAGTATATAAAAAACAAAAGTGCCAATTGATATTATTAAAATATTAGTTAAAGAATAAAATCGAGGTACTTTATTAAAAATATATATATACAAGTACACTCAATCTCATATATTTTAATAAATTTAATATAATTTTTAATAAAATAATTGCCACCCAAAAATATAATACTTTCTAACAGCAGTATTGTAAAGCACTCACAGCCATCCAAATTATTTGAAAAGGTAATAAAATGCAAAAATAATTTAAAAAAATGGTTTTGATAATAATTTAGGGTTGACAATTGAAGTTGTAGGCTTTAGTGACAAGAAAAGAAGGGCCACATATCACATCGCTTTTGATGGAAAGTGTGAAACACCAATTAGAATTCGACTTTCGCATAATGGCGAATCGGATTCGATAGTGAAACACTTCTACTTTTCTCTCTTGTCACACTCACATCACAACTTAGAAAAAAGAAATTATATATATTACAAGTTGGAGCTAAAGATAAAATTCTGCAATAAATATTTAATATAATTATATTTATTTAAATTTAAATTTCAGATTTAGTAATGGGTCTAAAAATATTAATTAAAAAAGTTAATAAATATTTATTATAATTTTAATATACTTTTTATTTTTCAACCTACATTAATTAACCTGACTTGTAATTAGATGACCATTATTAGTTAAATTACGAAGCAGTCACTTTCGTTTAATCTAAATGGGGAAAAAATTATTAGTTGCTTTTTTCGAACAATTCAATGGAGCTCTGGTTGCAATGTCATTGACTATTTCTTAGAGACATATTCGAGCATAGTTTCACTCGTTCATATTTTGCCATTTACCTAACCCTCCCCAACACTAGTCACTTTCTTCATTGTCTTTTCATTTCTAGAAAATATACTGTACTATTCTAACGAATTTATATAAACGTCAAATTCATTTTAATATAAATATATGTGAACATGGTAAATTATATTTTTTATATCAAAATACGATTTAGCATAATTTTATATATTTTTAAACATGTGCTTAGTATTTACAGTAAGTTCACACTATCAGCCTATTAGTTTATAATTTTATAATCTTGGGTGTCAAACTTAACACACAAAAGAATGGGATAAGCCAAAAATAAAGCAAGTGCGAGTAGCTCTTTACTTGATCGAATAAAAATTAATACTACCACTTTTTCTATTATATTGAAATTGTACCCTGATTTTTCTTTCTATATTTTTTGTATATTTGGGTACGTTAGGTTTCATTTTATAGTAAATTTTAGTTTTGAAAATTAGGTAGTTTGCATAGATCATTTAGTTTATTTCTTCATTTTGTTATTGTAAATATTTAATTTTATCCGAATCTCTTTTAAAAATAGTTTTAAAATTAAAAATTAAATATAATGATTAAATTTTGTAAGAGGTTAAAAAAATAGATAAAAATTAAATTAAATTTAAAAATTGTCAAATTAGTTTATAGGAGTGTAGATGAGAAAGAAAAAAAAATTGATTAGTGTTCATGGAGGGAACAAGAGATAATGGAAAGTTGAAATCTTTTTATCATAATAAAAAATATGTGTAGGATCTTAAGTTTAGGAGAGGTCAAACAGCAGAGTAAATGAATACCTACGACAAAAGATTCATACAAATCTCAATATATTTTTCATTGTATTCACAATCTTTTTTTAAAAAAATGTTCATGAAAATTAAGTGAGTACACTAAATATTCTTTTTGGATGCCATGAAATACACTAAATAAGATATAAATTAGATAAAAGATTATGAAAGTAACAGTAATAACAAAAATATGTACAAACTATGGTTATTCTCTTAAAAGGGTAAGAAAAAAAAATTATTTTATTTTTTTTCTTTCTTTTCTGGTTTACGCTCTCTTCCAAGAAAGGAAAGAAAGACTTCTTTGTTGTAAATAGCCGATTGGTTGATCTGAAAATGCATAGGAGAAAGATTAACAAACTAAAACGAATATTGATCCAAAAAGGAAGAACGAAGGCACTTCCAGAAACCTAAAACCTTTACATTAAGAGAAGGAATTGTCCACTAAACACTATGATGAAGCAGTCCAAGGCATTCTCATCTATGATTTAGAGATGCACCAACAAATTGATATTACTGAGATTAAGGAGAAAGCACAAGAAACAAAAAAAAAAACAATTGAAAGACTTTTTTGGGAAAAGAAGAGATAGGAGAAAGAGAAACTAATGTTCTGAGCATTGAAAATTTTCACAGTACATTCCTATAAGTCGCCTAAAGTATATTTCTCAAGGTCAATTAGAAAGAACAAGTCTACAAGATTGAAAAGAAATCCAGTCAAGAACCTTAAGGCCGATTAGAAAGAATATGTCTAAAGTGTTGAAAGAGATATTTAAACAAAAATTTTAAGTCTTCACAAAAGAGCAAACGTAAAAGAAAATCAGTTTCTCTTTATCCTTCAAATCAAGTAAGAACATTAAAAAAAAAATTCTTTTTACAAAGTCTAATTTTTTTCTAATCTAAAAATCCTTCCATTTACAAACCCTGATTTTTCCAACCACTTATGCAAACCCTAATTGTTTTCTAATCCAAAAATACTTTTTTTTTTTCTTGTAAACCTACAAATTTTAATTTTCTTTTTATGCCTACAAATTTTCCTTTTTGCAAACACTAATTTGTCTAACTTAGAAATAATTTCTTTTCTTGTAAACCTAAAAAACTTTATTTTCATTTTAACCCTACAAATTTTTCTTCTTACAAACCTTAGTTTTTTGTAACCTAAAAATCATTTATTTTCTTCTTGCAAACCTAAAACAAATCCCTTTTTTTACCTAAAAGTATTTCTTGCAAACCCTAATGTTTACTAACCAAAAATATTTTCTTTTTTAACCCTAAAAACTTAATCTTTTCTAACACTTTTCTAACCCTAGAGGTCTTCCTTTTTGCAAATATTTAAAAATCTAATCTTTCTAAACTCTAAAAATCATTTTTTTGCATATTCAAAAAACTATAAATGATCCCTTCTTGTTCTTTTTTATATCAAAATATACATATTTTAATTTTAATTTTTTTTAATCTAAGAGACAGTCAAGCAATTTTGAGTGGTGGATCCACCTTCAATATTGTCTAAATCATAAAAGTTTATTGAGTAGTGATGTACTAACTTGAATTTTTGCATAAAGATGAATTAATTTTTTAAATAAAAAAAATTAATAGTTTTAAAAATATTTTAAATCTATGCAACAGTCAAACGATGTTGATAGAGTGGTAGATCAATCTTTGATGTTGTTTGGATCATAAAAGTTGTACTAACATAAATCCTATGTGATAGTAGATTTATTTAAAGAATAAGAATAAAAAAATAATTTCTTTAGAGTAAAAGGACAAAATTTGAAAAAAATTGAAAATTATTCAAATCTTATTTCAAAAGAATTACCTGATTTTGATTCTCCATCGCACTAGGTAGATAAGTAAGAGGAGAGTCTAACCCGTCAAGTACAAAATATTTAAATTTTTTTAGGTTCTAAAACATTAAGAATGTTTTTAAATTTTTTAATCTAATTTTGAATTTAAAAAGATCAAAAATAATTTCACAATTTTCTTCTTTTTTCTAAAAAATAAAAATTAAATCATTACCTTTTTAATTTAATTAAAAAAGTGAAAAGTAACTTTTTAAATTCATTCCTCTTATAAAAAAAGTTAAATAAAAATATTTCTCATACATAGTTTATTTCTTTAATTCAAATTTAAAATTAAAAAAATTATTTTTTTTAAATTGTGTTTATTTATTAAAAAATATGCAAAGATAAAATTTTACAATTTATGTCTTCTTTTAAATTACACAAATTAAAAATGAAGCAATAATTCTAAATAAAATAAAAATATGAATTGTTTTTTTAAAGTGAAATAAATATTTTAAAAATTAAAACAATTTTACAGAATTAATTAAAAGGTAATAATTTCATTTAGATGTCATAAAGTACTAATATTTTTCTTAAGTATACAAACTTCTGAATCTAATTTGATTTTGAAGATTTTTTAATATATTTTTTATTATTTTTTAATAAATTTTGGTGACAACGTCAATATTTCTTAAATATTTATAATCTTTTTTCTATATTTATCTTTTTCTTATGCGATTGTTGTTTCGTTGTAACTCCAATTATAATAGTTATATATTCTTAATTAAGCTTTAGTTTAATTAAAAAAAGAAGGCAGAAGGGAAAAATGATGGAAACAGAGTTAACAAATTCACAAATATTTTATTAATATATTATTTAGTATTAGTTATTAATTATAGTCAAGAATGCTTTAAAGTTTCAAGTATCAAGATACTAAAAAAAAATTTCCCGTTAAAAAAAATAATATATTAAAAAAAAGACAATGTAATAACCACATTAAAGACCATAGAATTGGGATTAGGTACCTGCATATTAAATTTTTTTCGTATTTTTAATAAAAAAAATTGAGGTTATAAAATCAATTAATTAATGGCTTTAGAATATTATTTAACGGATTTTGACCCTCTAACATTGTTGAATAACGTGACACATAGACATAGTCATATTAAAAAGAAAAAGATATATCATATTTAATTGAAGTCTTTATTGAATAAAATTTATATTTTTTTCTCTAACATAATTATATTATATTATTACTTATTAAAAAGAAAAAAAATATGAATTGTTATTTAACATTTATTTTTATCTCTTGTGCATAAAGTTTTCTTGAAATAGCAACTTTTTTTTATTCATGTATTAATTTGGAAAGAAATATATAGCTCGTACTAATATTAGATAAGAAGACAATTTCTTTCATAGTATGTTACATGAGAGGGGTAGTATGGTAAATTAATGTCGAATATTTGATAATGAATGGGCCGAATAGAAAGCCCAGCCCAGCCCAGCCCATCCTGCTCCGGAACGTGAGAGGGGTAGTGTGGTAAATTAGTGTCGAAGTTGAAACCGTCACGGTCTCGAACAGGGTGGTGCGAGAATGGCGCGACCAACGATTCAGAATGAGAAAGTTGAGTTCTCTTCGTTTCACTCTTTCAGTCTCTCGACTCTCTCTCTCTCGCCATTTCCATTTATCTATTGAAACCGAAACCCTAACGCGAAATCGATGTGGAAGTGGTTCACGAAGGGGGCAGAGGCGCCACCGCCGGTGGTGCTCGTTCCTCCTCTCTTCGATTTTCCTCCCCTTGCCGCTCGCAACCGCATGCTTCACTCCTCCTACGATGTCGTTTTCGGAAAACTCGCTCTTCGATGCCTCTTCCAAGACTATTTCCACCAAGCGAGGCATTTCACTACCACTATCATGCTCAAGCCTATTGACGATCCTCACGTCGACCTCGTCGCAACCGTATCATCCCTTTTCCCTCTCTATCATCTCATTAAGAAACCTAAAACACCTGTTTATTAATATTTAATTATTAATTATTATTATCACTTGTTTAGGTTGCAGGTCCGGTTGATCGTAAGCCGGAAGACAATATTGCAGGAAATGCGTTGTTTCGGTGGCAGAGGTTTTATTTCTGTTGTTTGAATTGTGTTATTCGTTGCCTTTGTTTTTGCTCTGCAGTTTGTTGAGGTGGTTTTGGTTTGTTTGGTGGGCGTGCAGTGATGTTAACGATCCTCATACGTTCATGGACCTTTATGTATCCACAATTGATCCGTAAGTAGCTCTAACTTGAATTCGTGCTTAGGGTGTGTTTGTGAAGTGGAAGAAAAAGATTTGAGAATTTGTTAGAATGAAAAGAATGAAGTGGTAGATCAAGATTATCATGAAACATTTCAGTTATTTCTTATTCATTTTCATGAATACTATATATATATAGATGGATAGAGAGAGAGAGAGAGAGAGAAATGTTAATGAAATATAATAATTTATTTATTTTATCACTCTTCTAGCGGGTTTGGTTCCGCGTTTACTCCAATTACATTTGTTTCATGTAGGTCATTGCTACATTCCTACATGGAAAGAGTATATTGCTAGCACTCCTTAGGCTATATCTCTAAATTCTAACATAAAAAATAGACTCTATTTTCTTTCCCTCAGCGCTGTTGATTTAAACTTACCCAAGATGTCTATTTTATATGGGGAATGTTGTGTGTGGTCCGTGTATTCAGGATTTTACAGATGAGATCGTGTGCTTACTATCCCAAATATGGATTTGGGGCTTTTGGAGTGTTCCCTTTGCTGTTGAAGAAAAGGTGTGTTTTGTTTGATGATGGTGGCAGAAATATGTTTTAGGTTCTTATTGTAGTTTGCACATCATCCACAGACTGCAACATACAGTGTTGACAAAGTTAACCAATTCTACAGAGAATCCTCCCAAGATTATGGCCTGATGGGATTGAGATATGGTTCTGGCAATCTGTCCTTTGGAGTCACACTTATGCCTTTTGCCAGTAAGTTCCTCGATATTATGCCAATGAGCATATTTAATGGATTTCGGATGTGTTTGATTAAGTTTTTCAAAAAGTGCTTTTATACTACAATTGTTTTTGAGTTTTTTATTTTTACAAGCTACTCTAGCTTCTGAGTTTTGAGAACATTACTAAAATTGTTTTGTTTTTTTTGGGTGGGTGGGATTTCTTTTATTTCTTCCTGTGTTTAAAAGTTTGAGATTATTATTGTTTCGTTTGTGACCATTAAATTTTACATTTTTTAATAGATTTTTGAAAACATTGATTTATGAGCTCTTTGGAGAATCAATGAATATAAACTGTTATGTAATTGTCATACATTGCAGTGAAAGATGAATTACCAAAGAGTGCATGGCTGGTAAGCAAGATAGGAAGGGTGACTGCTGGGGTGCAGTATGAGCCACAGCGTAAGAAATGCACAAATTTTATTCCTTTAGAAATATTTCTATATCGTCAGAATTTTTTCTTAATTAAAATTACTACATCAGTACTAGGTTTTTTAAATTAATTTTTTATTCTTTTGGTTTCTATATGGCACATATGTTACTTGAACTTTGGATATCTTTCTGCCAGTTGTAGCACATTGTTTTGAGCTTGAATTTGATTAAAAATATTTGCCCAAAGATGTTTTTGCTTTTGCATTTTGTAAGTTGTCATATAAATAATAGTCTTTTTGTCAGTATGGTTCATGCATTAGTATTTTGAGTGTTTTCACTGCATTTGGATTTTAGAAAGAAACCTATGTGACACATGTGAGTCATGTGTTGTTTATCTTCATGTGTGTGTGCATGCACATTCATGTAGGGCTACAATTACATGAAAGATGGAGTAATTGGCAGAAAGAAAGCTATCTACCAGGGCTGAGAGTTAGTAAAAGTGGGGCAAGGATAGTTTGTTTGCGGCAGTTAGAGTGGTTAGTTAGTTAAATGGGATCATTTAGATAAATAGGGGAGAATAAGGATGGAGGGATTCATTGAAAGAAATATAGTATGTATGAAAGGGAGACCCTTGGAGGAGGATTCTTTCTCCTTTTGTCAAGCATTGAATAAAATTGTGTTTTGCATTTCTTGTTTCTGTCAATTTCTCAATTTTGTTTCCTGAGTTTGTAACAGGATTGAAGAACTTGGATTAACGCTTTATTATTTTCAAGTAGTTTACAAAGAACTAAGAGCATATTTATCTTATTCATACTCATTTTGGATCTGAAATTTGAACAAATATGTACATACTAACTTGTGTGGTTTTTAGAAGGAAATGCAAAACTTTCAAATTTGATGAACTGGAGTTGTGCCATGGGTTATGGTGTGGGATCAGGCAGCCCCTTGAGTCCATCCTTCAATTTCAGCCTTGAGCTCGTTAAAAGCTCTCAGGTATAAGCCCATGTACTTAAATTGATTAATATTTTTATTTCTTTATTTAGTTCTTTGGATAACTCAAATTACTCAATTGTGGGTAATATAATGATGTAACATGCTTTTCTCTTAAAATGGAAAGTATTGTGATTTGTGAGAAAATAATGTTATTTAAAAAATTCACTTACTATTAGAATCAAAATTAAATTTTGTATTCACCTGCTGTATGATTATGATATGCCTTTAACATTAACACATGTTGGTGCAATTTAAACTTAAAGCCAATTAAGTGCATCCTAGCATTTGTCTGCCCTAACATGTGATTTGTGTAGTTCTGATTAATATATTGAGAATCATTTTACTGAAATTTCAAAGTCTTAACATTATGCAGTTTATTGCCTCATTCTATCAACATATGGTTGTTCAAAGAAGGGTATGCTCTCTGATCCTCTTTCTTTCTCCCTCCATTGTCTTTTTAGAGGTCCTTTGTCATCATATTAGTTTATCATTTTTCATTTTGCAAACACAATATTATATAATGTGGTTGATGGAAGGATCATCTCTGAATCTGCTTTTTTTCTATCCTCTAGTTTGGTTTTCCTTGCAAGATAAGATGTTTGTTTTAAATTTGAGTAGAATTGATTTTGATAAAATTAATTTCGAACTGTTGAACATATTTGGGATGTGTGCCCAAATTAATCTCAGGCATAGATTTTAGGTTGGAACTTGGAACATGTGTGATGATGGGAAGAATTGATTCTAGTGTTTTGCCAAATAATGCACTTATTTATTCTTGTTAAATTTACCCTCACTCAATCTTATTGAGATCTTTTATCTGAGGTGTAATAAACTGACAGATTTAATCTATTGTGGAGTCAGAATATATTACACTTTAAAAGTCATATCTCATATACTTGAATTGAACAGGTGAAGAACCCCTTTGAAGAGAATGTTGTCGTTGGAATTACAAACTACATTGATTTTGGGTTTGAGTTACAAACAAGGTATTCTTTTTGGCCTAAAAACAGATTCAAAGTTATTGTAGTTGCGCCAATGTGGTACAATCTAATTTTTTCTGTGTCAGTGTTGATGATGCCTTTGCAGCTAACAACATTGCAGACTCCACCTTTCAGATAGGTGCATCCTGGCAGGCCAATAAAAATTTATTGCTGAAGGTAAAAAATAGATTATGGGGATGTTTGGAATAGTTTATAACTGATAATCTTTTCAGCTTATTTCAATAAGCATCTTAATATAACTTATTAAAATAAGCTCTTTTTAGCTTATTTTAGTAAATTTCATAATCAAATTCATATCATAAGCCCTCATGTAAAAAATGTTTATTGAACAAGTGCCTAATTAATCTTCTTACTCAAACACACCCTATTATTTCTCATCTTTTCAGGCAAAGGTTGGACCTCGTAGCTCATCAATGGCATTTGCATTCAAGTCATGGTGGAAACCTTCTTTCACTTTCAGCGTTTCAGGTGACTAGAAGGATTTTTCTATTTAATCTTTGTTCAATTCTTTATCCCCTGTTCTTTCCTTTGTTTGCTTGGGAGTAGGGTTTTAGAGGGAAAGGAAAGGGAGTGTAGTTTTTTTTTTTTTTTAAATTTAAGAGTATTATAGAATGTCCATAAAAATAAACAGATTATTAAGACATTAGTTTATGCTAATCTATCATTTTATTTTAAAAATTCTGAAATTAGAGAATACATATTAAAATAAAATTTTTATTCTCCCTTTCCTTTCCCTTAAAACCCCATTTCCAAATGTATCCTTGGTGGGACTGAGACTTTTCTTTTCCTTTTGCATGTGTGTTAGGATATGAGGGTATGGCACTTCTAACCTAATTCAGCTTATTCAACTTCTATCTTGCACACTTTAATGTTGGCTGCGTTTTCAACATTTTTGAGGTCAAGACCTATAGGCATAATATAATGGTCGGGGGGTGGACATAAGTTGAGGCTCTGTTTTTTTATGGAGTGGAGAGGAAAGGGGGAGGGAAAAGGAAGCTGGTTTCCTAGCATTTGTGATGTCTAAAATATTCCTCTTACATTTTACCTATATTCTTGGTGAAGTATATATTTGCTCCCTTAAAAATTGTTTTTCTAAGAAATGTTCATTCTGTTTTTATTTTGGTCACTCTTTAAGTAGGTTAAGTATGGAGTTCACTAGATGGCAATTTTTTGCCCCCTGCAAAGTATGTTATGGTGGTGTTATTTTCTAGATGAGCACTACCTCTGTAATATCTTTTTCTAGGTATGTGCTCCGTCATTAAGGTGCTAATCAATTTCTGTGGGAAGGCTGTAGACCAACTAGACATGACAAATGGTCTAAAATCTGCGATATTAAACAGTTTTCAATTTCTCATCCTGTGAAATGTTTGTATGTAAAATCTGCGATATGTTGTACTTACAAGATTTCTGCAAATTTAAATGGAAATCGTATGTCAAAGTCTAGACTGTAATTAGTATATATCCAAGTCAATGAAGTGCCTAACATGTCTTGTTTTTCTGTAGCCACCAGAGATCGTGCTGATGGTAAAATGCAATATGGATTTGGCATCCAAAGTGAGAGTCTAAGAGATGCCAGGTTCATTTCTTAGCAAGAACTTCTATGTTTTGATTCGACAAATTATCTGCTAATATAACAAGACTGTTTATTACCCATGCTGCTGCATGTTTAAAAATAAAATCACTTTCAGCTTTAGCTTTCTTTACGTTGAGCTCGTTGCATAATAATCAATGTGCTCTTTCAAATTTTTTTCCTTACATCACTGCTGCTAATATAACATGTATTGCGTTCGTTTTACTTATTTGCAGCTATCAAAGAGCTGATCCCAATTTTGTAATGCTAACGCCAAGCAAGGAGCACCTAGCAGAAGGCATTGTCTGGGAAACAGGGAAGCGACCTATGCTACAAGCTGACATAAATGCCGGACATTTTGATGGCTTGCCCAGAGAATTACAACCTCTTGATAAAATTTTGTGATTCATTTTATTAGCTTTATTTTTTCTCTTGCCGATAACGACACTATTTCTTGTAGGAGTGGCCAGTGGAAAATTGGAAATGCTTTCATAAGAATGTAGTCTAGGGCATTGCATTCAATCGGTAACTAGAATGTTTAGCCTGTTTGCATTGACATTTCAGTATCTACAATCGATTTTCAGTTTAGAACAGACGACGGAGTTGCTTTTAGCACGAAAAGCGAAGCCTGTTAAGCAGCAGCGATTCTTTGTTCCTTTTGGAGGAATCGATTATTGCTAGCATTATAGAAACAAGCCAGCTCTTTAATTACATGCTGCACTTTTTTATGGTACGGATCTTGATTTTGTTCTAACTTTGATCTGTGGAATGTGGACCATGTGTTATTCGTGATTCTACCTGGAATAGGATTTATTCATAAGTTGGTTGCATTGACCGTTAAGAGCATTAAATAAGTTCTAAACTTGAGCAACTCAAACTGAAAAACCAGTTAAGCAACTCGATTACGAAGGAAATTGAATTGAAGATTTAAGACGACTAGACGAATGCCGACAGAGGTTCCTTAGGTATTGAGTAGCATTGCTTGGAAAGTGTCGGTTCAATTTGTTGGTATCGATGTTATTTGACAGAGCTGTAACATGTCTGTCTCTCATTGTTACAGTATACCAAATGGAATAAGTGTTTGAATGACATAAAATATTTATGAGCTAACAACTAAGTTAACAAATATTTAAAATATGACATCGCTTTGAATTCAATTGCTTTAATCTTGCAAGTAAGCGGGCGATTTTGAGAATGTTTTAACATGCAAATATGAGATTCACTTAATCATGTTCGTGTCACTTAACTAGCTTAAAGTTAGAGTCATATACTATCCACCTCTCCCTTTTACTACCCCCTTCTCCCGGGAAAAAAAAACTTAATTATATTCATAAATAATATGAAGCCAAAATAATTTATTTTAAAATAATTTTAATCCTTAAAAGTAGTTTGTGTGTAAAAGCAATTTTCAGTATCAGTTCCAAATATATTACATTTAATTAAATAAATAACTAAATCATAAAATTTGCTTCAATCAGAAAAATTGATCCACTGTTTCTTTTTTGTTTTAATCCACACTTTCTTTATCAATTAATAAACAAACAAGCATTATACTTTAAAAAAACAAGGTAAATGAAAACTTAGTGATGTTGAAAATCTCCTTTATATAGCATGGCAATAACAAATAATAACATTTATAAAATAAAAAGAAACTTTTTCCTCGTAAAGTTCTTTCTGAATTAGTGAAGGATGGACGAGTACGTGAGTCTAATAATTCCGAGCAACATGGAAGACATTATATTATACTATTATTTCTACTGTTACTGCTACTATTTTTATATTATTATTAAGTTAACTAAAGCTCCATCACACACTGGATCCCAACTAATCCAACGTCCCAAGCACCACAAACAACGTTTCCATTTTACATAGCAGACATCGCTGGACCTTAGTCCAAACAAACCAAACCAATGGCCACTGTTTGTTCCCTCATTTCCACACTCTTCCCTTCTTCTTCTTCTTCTCCTTCTTCTTCTTCTTCTTCTTCTTCATTTCCTCGCTTCGCAAACACCAAACCCACCATTCACCTATCCAAATCCCTTCATCTCCACACGTCCACTCACTTATTCCTTCGCCCTCAAATTCCATCTCCAATAACCCTTCTTCCCAAACTCACCATTCCCAAAACCTGCTTCGATTCTCTTCTTCTTCTCTGCACCTCCCTCGCTCTTTCCTTCACTCTCTTCATTGCAAACGCCGATGATGCGTCTGCCTTCGTTGTCACCACTCCAAGGAAGTTACAATCCGATGAACTCGCCACCGTTCGTCTCTTCCAAGAAAACACTCCCTCTGTTGTCTACATAACCAACCTTGCTGTCAAGTAACATCCCCTTTCCCCCCCTTTTTTGGGTCGTTTTAAAAAAAATAAAAATTGAATTTTTAATGCTTTTTGTTGAATTTTGAGAAGACCCCTTTGGTTTGTTGTCTGTTTTTCAATGTGGGTTTTGTGGTTTAGGCAGGATGCGTTCACGTTGGACGTGTTGGAGGTTCCTCAGGGATCTGGGTCTGGCTTTGTTTGGGACAAGAAGGGTCATATTGTGACCAATTATCACGTTATTCGCGGTGCTTCTGATCTCAGGTTGGTGAGGTTTTGTTTGCGTCTTTTGATGCACTTCCTTAACCTTGTACTTTTTTGCCTGTTGCTACTAACATGTTAGGTTGAGTCATGTGATGGTGGCATGGGAACTTTTAAGTCATGCAGCCAAATATGTTCATATAATGTATAATAAAGGAACCCCGCCCATGTTTGGTTTTGCACCATCACCACCAATGGATCAACAATTTTACTTTTATTTTTTATGGTTTTTCTAACCTGTGCAAAATTGCATGTGATAAGAACTTATATTATTATAAAATTTAATGCATTGATACTATTAAGTTTGCTATTATTGATTTCTTATCATGTGCAATTTTGCAATGGTTGGAAAGCCAATTTTTTTTTTTTTAACAGAAACTCAATGTAGCCCCATCCATGAATACTCTAATTAGAGGTGTCAAAATGGAATTGAAACTCAGCTTCAAATTGTAATTCTACACTCTAAATCTTTGTGACAACCCAAATAAAGGAGTTATGATCCCAAACCAATTCAAATTATGATGGAATTGGAATTACAATTCTAATTTCATTTGCCAAATGGACCCTAAGTGTACTTGCTGGGCAAATTTTGATGGTAGATAGATACAATTGTTGGGATGGATTAAAATGTGTGGGTGAAGTGATTGCTCCTGTTGAAAGAAATGCTAGTTATGTGCAGGGTCACTCTTGCTGACCAGTCAACTTACGATGCCACAGTTGTTGGTTTTGACCAAGATAAGGATGTTGCTGTGCTGCGCGTTGATGCTCCCAAGGACAAACTCAGGCCTATACCTATTGGGATCTCTGCTGACTTGCTTGTTGGTCAGAAAGTGTATGCTATTGGGAATCCGGTGAGAAGTCCTTACATATTGATGCATATTGTGTTGTAAGTATGCATTATGTATGAATTTTCCAATCAAGAGAGATGAAGGCAATTCTTATTGAACTTACTATATTAGCTAGATAGTTTTTATGATCAAGGGGATTTCGGTCTTTCTAAATCATAATTTAATAATTGTCTCATTTAATCTAACATGTAGTTTGCAACTTTGCATAGTTATAATAGTCCTTTAATCAGCATGCTTGCTCCTGTTGTAATTCCATTATGTTTTTGGTAAATTCTGTTAAAATATCATATTGGATACCTGAGCTGTAACTGCTTGCAATATAAAGCTAGACTCGCATCCCTTCCTGTTCCTTGAAAACTGCTGGGCAGGTGGGGTTCATTTCTGCATCTCCTTATCTAGAAATATGGATGCATCTCACGTGTTATTTTTTTTATTATTATTATTATTTTATTTTTTTAATTAGGGATAAAACCACTTAGAGCAGGAAATTCAAAACCATAAATTTTAAACATTAGTTTTCTCTGGACTTTTTATCTTGTAACAGCAAACTGCTTTACTTAGTTTTTAAACATTGATCACTTGAATGCTTTTAGTTGTTGATGATTGAAAGTTAATGTAATTGACTATCTTATGATTATGCCAATGTGATTCTTATCGTGCAGTTTGGACTTGACCACACTCTTACAACTGGTGTCATCAGGTATGAAAACTGTAAAGTGAACATTTTGATGTAACTTTTTCGTTTCCATTAAAAGAGTCTCTGATTTGCTATGCCTGTTCCTTGCCTCATGTCAGATTATACATTTGTGCTCAAACCTTTTATTTAGGGTCTGAAAATAGCAACAATGGTTTTCTTATTCTCAATGTCACAGTTTCTCGAGAAATTTTCAAGATGACATTTCATTGCACTGTAGATTTTGAATTAGAAACACCGGTGAAGATGAAAGATATTGTCATTTATAACTTTTGTAATAGTCTTATGATGCTTTTGCAAAAGCTAAGTGAATCCATAAAAAATGAGCAGAATCCACTGTACCAAAAATAAGGTAACTGATAAGATGTCTCACATTGGCTAAAGAATAGAGTCAGCATATCCTTTATAAAGCTTGGGTTTCCCTCCTCCTATGAGTTAGCTTTTGGGAGTGTGTTTGACCCAGTTTTTTAATAGTAACTGTATCAAATGTTAACCTACTAATATAATAAAATAAATAAGAGAAATGCACAGGCAAAGTCTTTCATGTATATTCATTTTTGTTCTTCAGATGGGTTGCCTTCAATCCCTTTCTTGAATTAAAAATACATCGTAGTTCTTACAACAGTTTCTCTTTCCCTTTTCTTTGAAACTTCCACTTTTTAAATAATGCATTTCATATGGTAAATATAGTTATTCAAACCTGCATGTCATAAACATATGCTTTGCTGATACTTGATAACTCAATTTGGATACTTTGTATTCTTTATACGTTCCTTTTTATATTGACTGTGCTTTACTGATATATACTTTCTAATAGTGGACTTCGGCGAGAAATAAGTTCTGCTGCAACTGGTCGTCCAATTCAAGATGTTATACAGACAGATGCAGCAATTAATCCTGGTAACAGTGGAGGGCCACTCTTAGATAGTTCTGGAAACCTCATTGGGATTAACACAGCTATATATTCCCCTTCTGGTGCATCCTCTGGTGTTGGATTTTCTATTCCAGTGGACACTGTGAGTTCTTACTCAGACCTTTCTTTATATTATGCTTCCGTCAGGGAGACAACTTTTGATGGAAACATGCAGCCATAGCTCACATGTTTCTTGTTTTATGTATTTAGGTAAATGGCATTGTTGATCAATTGGTGAAGTTCGGGAAGGTTACAAGACCTATTTTAGGGATCAAGTTTGCTCCAGATCAGTCTGTTGAGCAGTTGGGGGTTAGTGGAGTGCTTGTCTTAGATGCTCCTGCCAATGGTCCAGCTGGAAAAGCGGTAAGTTTATTATTATATTATTTTTCTAGAAGAAAACATTTGTTAAGATTAAGGATCAGTTTGTAAAAGCTTATGTACAATTTATGACTCTCATAAGCTCTTTTCAGCTTTTTTCAATTAGCTTCTTGGTATAGTTTATTAAAGCATGCTGTTTTCAGTTTATCCCTATAAGTTTTATCATTAAATTCATCGCATCTTTTAGAAATAGCTTATTAAATAAATGCTTGAATTAGTTGTGTATCCTAACGCACCATGAAAATTCATGCTTGTACAAAAGTCCAGCTGAATGCACCAAAATTTCATGTTAACATAAAAACTGGGTCTTTTCTCTTCTAGTAAAAGCACAAAAATAGTCACATAATTTGTTCCTAGGACCTACCTAGGGTACATCCAATGTATTTTTACATAAACTTCATTTATCATGTCTTATTAAAACTAGATACTGTAACTCATTTAAATGCTTAAGCTAGATTCACTCGATTACCATTTTCCAATTTTGTAGGGCTTGCTACCAACAAAGCGTGACACCTATGGTAGACTCATTTTAGGTGACATCATAACATCAGTGAATGGTAAGAAGGTTACTAATGGGAGTGATTTGTACAGAATTCTTGACCAGTGTAAAGTGGGTGATAAGGTATGGTCCTGATTCATATGCTTTTATTGCTCATGTCTCCCTCCACTTTCTCCCATTTTAATTAGTAAATAAAACAACAACTTTACCTTTTCAAAATCTCTAGTTAAATTCTAGGATTTCCAAAGCAAATAATTATAAGAAAATGTTAACTTTAATTTTTAAGATTGATTTTTAAGTATCCAAAAATGGTAAATTTTTAAGAAAATGATGATGATAGTTAGTATTATTACATTGAGGTACTCAACTCAAGTTGAAGTTGATTTATCATCCTAATTCAATGCTTAATGAGTTTTGATATTCAGGTGATTGTGGAGGTGTTGCGAGGTGACCACAAGGAGAAGATCCCTGTCATATTGGAGCCAAAGGCTGATGAATCATGATGATATGCAACACATCATATCCTGCATGTATATATATTTCATATGCCAGGGAATGAGTGCAGCTGTTTTAAGTGTATTCTTAGGTTGTTTCTTGCTTCATAAGATGTCCAACTGTACATAATAAGTACTATGGGACTGGCAGCACATCACCCTCTAACTTTCTCATTATTCAAGTCACTACAACTTGCCACATGTATTTGCCCCAACACAAATTGCTATTCAGATGAAGCATGATCAATTTATGATCATTGTGGTGCTTTTTATTTTATTTTCGAAAATAATGTTTTTTTTTCTATTATTTTATATTAGTAAACAATTGAAATACAGAGGATCCAAAACATTAGTCAATTAGTCAGAAAAAGATACAGTTCAGCTAAACCATGATTGAACAATGTGTTTCGATGATGATATAGCAGAAAGCGTTTCCGTGGAAAGAGGAAATTCCTTCATTTTGGGAAGAGGATCATTTGTGGGAACTATATTGGGATCTGATCTCCTTCAGTTCACATGGAGATTGGATGGCTTATAATTAAGATTAAGATTTTTCATTTAACTTCTTTAAAATTTGAGAAGATAATATTTTTTAATTTATGAAATAAATTTTGTTATTTTTTATACTTTTTTTTTTCTTGTGAAGACTACTTTAGAAGTTTACTCAAATTGAGTCTATTTTTCTTTATTATTTAAATAAGACTAATAAAATAGAGAAATATGCGTATTTTATTAAAGAAAAAAGGATGTTTAATGTATTTTGCTAAAAATTATAGTTGAATGAATATATAATTTATTTTTGAAAGTGGTAATCATATTTTTATTGGTCCACTTCACAGTGGAAGGATTAAGTTGTAATAAAATTTATAGATTTAAAATCAAATTATATAATACAAATATTTAAAAAAATCAAATGAAAGCAAGTTGAAATTATATATTTGCTCAATTATAATTTAATTTAATTTTTTAAGTGCATGTTTGCTTGCACGTTTGAATGCATAAAAGTACGTGTTTTTTAGCACTATGCCTTAGATGATCACTCTCAAAGAAAGCAAAGCAAACAAGAATAAATCTATAATACCATGGTGGTTGGTTTAATTACATATATACATTCGTGCAAAAGGAATTAAGTGTTTCCTTTTTTTAAGAATCAAATTAAGTTATTCGTTTTTAGTTGTATCAAAGTAGGAAATTTGTTTGCAATCAGTTTTTGGTGAAATTAAATCTAAAAAGTAAGGGTTAACTTTGGCAATTTATGTTGCTAATGATAACACTGACATGAAGGGAGCATAATGTATTTCCTCCAATTAAATAAACGTTTATTTATTAGTTTCCATTGATGAAATCTTATTTTATTGTTAGAATTTTTTTGTGTAGCTCATAAACTCTTACCATATCAATTATAAAATTTCGAGTAAACTTTTAAAATAGTTATCAAATTATACAAATCTAACATTTTCACTCTTAGAATAATTTTTTTTTTGTTAGTTTATAAAGTTGGTTGTAATACATTTTTTACTTTATTTTTTTAATGTGTTTTTGTCTTACAACGAAAATAAATTCTTATTCTATTAAGTGACTCTCTTACACTAATTTTGACTTGATTCAAAAGCTAAATTTTTTATTAAAAAACTAATAACATTTAAAATATTATAAACTATTTTTTTTCATTAATTTTTAAAGTATTGTAATATTGGTAACTAATTATAATTGAGTAACCCTTCACTTTAGTCCCTCAAACATATAACTTGATTAAAGTTAGTTCTCGAAATTTAAAATTTTAGTTTTTAAAATAAATAATAATCAATTATATTAGTTTTTATTGTTAAAATATGTTAAAATTGAGTAATAGAGTGATGGTTTATCACATTAGATGACACATGACAGTTTATTTTAGATAGAAAATAATATCGTTTTATAATATTTTAACTTTATTTTTGTCAAATTTTTAACACTTTCAGGCAATAAAATTCTTGTTTCGCCATCTTTCTACCATAGTAGCCTTTCTCTCTCATTTTCTTCACAATTTCTTCTTTTGTTCAACCTAAGATCTCATCTTTTTTTTTTTCATAATACAATCCAACAAACTCTAGTTCTCATCAACCCAACATCATCTCTTAATCACCTTTTTCTCTCTCTCCATCCCACATCTACTAAAACTACCTTTAAATTCAACCTTTCTTCCAATCAATTCTATATCCCACACTGCCCCTTTGATTATAAGAAATCATCATCTGAATTCAACAAAACCATTCCTTATTATGCCTCCTTCATCATCTAGGTTGTTTCAAACATTCACTAAAATCTTTGAGTAAGGCTTGGATCGAGTGGTTTGGATGACAAAACTTGAGATGAAGAAATATTATAACATGAACATCATTGCAAGAGTAATCAGAAGAAGGAATAAGACAATGAAAAAAGGGCGAAATGAAAGACGTGGAGAAGGCTTTGTTGACAAAAAATATTAAAAATTAGAGACAAAAATAAATTATTTTTAAAATATTATAAAATGACATTATTTTGTGTCCAAAATGATTTGTCATGTATCACTTATATAGTAAAACATATCATTACTATGTTAATCACTATTAACGTCTCTTAGCGACAAAAATTAACATCATTAACAATTGCTAAGTTTAGAAGCTAAAGTTTAAAATTTAAGATATTAATTTAAACGACATTATATTTTTGAAAGATTAAAGTGATTATTTGCTTAATTATAATTTTTTAATTTATCATTGTTTGTATAAAATTTGAGTTGTCCTTTGATATTAACATATGACCATAATTTTGTCTCGGATGTACATGCTTCTAAATTCTAATCTCCAACTTTATTTTTTCATTTTGCCGTATAACCAGGTAGTTTGAAGTATAAAGTGAAGGAAGCTGGAAAATTAAAATTTTGTACTAGGAGGATTTCCAACTCTTATTAAAAGAAGATTTTCCGATGACATAAACCAAGTTCATAGTTCCATCATATATATGTAATATAATATATATATATATATATATAGATATATATATATATATATATAGATATCAATATCATATGGTGAAGGTAGCTAGGCCTCTTCATTGCAGACACACGACCTCTCTAAGCATTACCCTATAGCTTCCAATGCAGAATGGTGGCCACATCTTTTACCTAACAAAAGCAGAAGAAAAAAATGCAATGGTGAAAGACTATAAATTACACGTTGCATGCATAAATTGAAATTCAATTTGGATAGTAGTGATGGAGAATGTCCATCAATTTAATTTAATTATATAATTTAGCTCATATATAAGAAGAGTAATTAGTAATACAGAGTACATTTTAGGGAGGAGAATACTTAGGATGAGGTCATTGATAATGGTTGATGTTCATACGGAGAAAGAGGAAGCAAGGCCAAATTGAAGGCCCCAGAGCTCAAAAGATCCTTTAACAAAGTCATAGTATCCTCCTTTCAGTGCCAATGTATTGTTCACCAATCCATCTCTAACAAATGGGTAGGTTAGCAAGTTTCCAAGGGAAACATTCACAGCTTCCTGCACAAAGAATCCAACTTATCACCTTCTAAATCATTATGTTAAGACCCTTTGTTTTGAGAAAATTTTTATATTTTTCATTTTTCATTTTTCATTTTTCACTTTTAATTATAAAAACATCACCTTATTTTTATTTTATTTTCTATTTTTAAAAGCTATTAAAACATTATAAAGTAATTATTTCTTTGAAAGCAGAAAAGAAAAATAAAATAAGGCTTTATTTTGTAATTAAAAGTAAAAATAGAAAACATTTTTCAAACCGAATAGCTCTAACTCTCTATCTGAGTTTTATGAAAAATATTAGAAAATGTTCATCGAGAGGCTTGTGTACTATTGTCCTATACCTTCTCACAGTGTGTGCATAGCTCTGCAAAAGGTGCATCCCCATGTTGTGCTTTCACCTTTGCCTTTGCAGGTAAGCCAATTTTGACCCACTCCTCAATAAAATCACTGCATACAACAAATAAGAGATAAAAAGAAATTTTCTTAACTGAGTCGTGGAGATTTAATGGGAATGAGTACCTATCTCACATTAAAAATATAAGAGAATATCTATGAAAAAAGGATAACATGAAGTTTTACATAATAAGGCCACTTCCTTCTAAGTTCCACTAAAATTGCAAGAGAGTAGCACTTGGAAACAATGGAATTTTATTTTCTAAAATTACCACTCACTTGTCGTTTTACCTAACACTAGAACATCTGTGATCAAATAATAATGACGTAGAGTAAATAGTTAATGGAAAAGTGCATATTTTCATGTAAAGCCTAAATGACTTACGTAGAGTAGGTTCCATCGTAAGGGAAAGATAAAAGCCCCTTAATACCACCACAAGCACTGTGTCCAATGACCACAATGTTGGACACCTATAGGAAAATTCATTGGGTTAAAAACTCTTGACATTTTCCACAATCATTTATTTTCATATTAGTAAGGCTGGAAGTACACTATGCATAAAATTATGTGCAGTTATTTTATCTATTAATGATTGGTAACATACCTTGAGATGCAAAACAGCATACTCAATGGCAGCACCAACTCCAGAGTACTTTGTCTGATACACAGCAAAGTAAAACATTTGAGCATTAATAAGGTATTAAGAGATAGACAGGTACATGGAATTGCCTTGTTTGTATTGGAAACATACCTGGTCATATGGTGGGACCATGTTGGCAACATTTCTGACCATAAAGGCCTCTCCAGGCTGAAAATCTAGCACATGAGATGGACAAACTCTGGAGTCTGAGCAAGCAAACACCATAAACTGAAAATGAAAACAAACAAGGCATAGTTAGACTTAGAAAAGCAAATTTCAATCCAAATCCAAAAAGGTGGTTTTATTTTATACACAGTTTTTTAAACGTGTGCCTAAAAGTATATAATAAGAACTCGTATATAAAATCACATTATATGGTTGAATTGGATAATATTAAATGTTATAGTTTTCAACAAAATCTTACTATTTATTTATTTCTTATCATATGCTTTAGATATAAGTTTAAGAAATGGAATTATAAATAATTTATCACAAAGTACCTTTGGACTCTGGCCTTTGGCAAGTTCACCAAACAAAGCTGGATTCTGGCTGTGGAAAAAAAATATATCTCATCATCATAATAATAATAAAATAATAAGAATGAGAAAGCTTAAGCTAAAAGAAAGAAAAACTAAATAAGGTGTTGAGAATTAAGGAGCACTAACTCATATTTCTCTTTCTTGAAGTAAAGGAAACCAGCTTTGATCCTCTCTGAGGCTTCAGATGGTGGGAGGGTGACTTCAGATGATGGTGTCCCCAGCTGTGCTGTTATCTGCTCAACTCTTTCAGCTGCTGTGGCTCTCAGTTCACCTTTCTCCCTATATTTCATGTTTTAACACAATGCATGTCAATTTTCAAGGAAGACACATACTATGAAATATTGCATATTATACTATATCATATTATACTATACTATACTATACTATACTTCCCATCATAGAGAGTGTTTTGAGATTTACCTTAACAATTTCTGAAGTTCTTCAATAGCTTCCTCATAGTCCTTCCCCATATCCTCTCTCTTAAAAAAAAGAATAAAAAATAAATAAGTACGTGTCAGTTGAAAGGAAAAAAAAAACTAATGAATAACACAAGCTGTCCTGATAAAGAAATAAGAAAAACAAAAAGTAATTTTCTAATTAATTTCTCTCAACCAAGGTGAAATTTTGACATAAGTCTATAACTATGATGTATGCATGTTCTTTGGTTTGCTAAGGTAAAAAATTGGAATGCATATATTTTACACTGTCTGAAAATTAATTAGTTGCTAATTTGGTTGGCAAAGCTGATTTTGAATGGACTTTTTCTTCTTTAGTAGTTTGGATTTTCTGCTTTAAGCGCCTTAGAATCCTCCAACTAACACATCTTCCCCATACACCGCTAATTCACGTTATATATAGTTTTTTTATTTTGGTATGAATTTTTTTGCTAATGAAAAAAATTGGTTAATTGTATGGTCTCACTGCTGACACATATTATAATAGTGCATGAACAAATCCATGCCACACAACTGTCTCTCAAACCTAACTACTAAGTTACCTATGTGGTTTATACCAAAGAAAGATCAAACCTCAAACGTTGTTCCACGTGAAATCTAAACTTCATTAAACACACTGAAACACATTTCTTCCAAGTTGCAACCAAACTCACCCCATACGTGGAAGCTGTTAAATTGTTAAGCACATGATCACCCAAGTTAAAATACATGACAACCCAAAAACACATTGTAATCCAAAAGTGCAAACAAATTTTGGGTTTCTCAAGAATGTTTGGTTTTGAAATAAAAAATATCTTTTTTTTTATTATAAAAATAACACTTTAATTTTATTTTTTAAGTTATTTTTATTATTTTTTTCATGCAAATATTTAAAAACAATAAACGAAATAAAAAAATAAGGTTATATTTTTTTTAACTAACAATAAAAAAAGGATCAATTTCTCAAACCAAACATCCTTTTAACATTCAAAAACAAGACAACAAATAAGAAACATTTTCTTAAATCAAGCAACTCTTAAAGGTTTGAAAGACAATATAACAAAAGAAAAATTAATTTATAAATGTTGATCAAAGTGTACTATTTGGTATATATACCACAATGGGGTTGATGATGGGGGCAGGAGCAGCAAAAACAGGCTTGTCTTGAATAAGAGAAGGGAAAGACGAGGAAGAGGAAGAAGATGAAGAAGTGGTAAGTGTTGCAAAGACTGAAGGACGCAATGTGGCCCTTCTAACAGAAGTTTTGGAAGGAGAGATAGAAGAGAGGCACCACCCGTTTATGGAAGAGGTCGACATGGTGCAATGAAGACTCAAATGGTTATGCTATATAGCCCTTGTAGCTACGATGGTATGGCATATCTAATTGGCTATGCCCATTTTTATGTGACTTTTGGTAGATAATGAAAACGAAAGCCAAGCAAAGGAGAGCTTCATTCCTATCCTTTTAGATGAGAATTGAATGTTGGAGATTAACTATGAGAGAATGACCATAACCCGATGTCACTTTGGATCACATACCCTTTGCCATCATTTACCTTCACACACAAAAATTGCAATGAATTTTTTTAGCCATTATTAATTAAAATTGATTTTCTTGACTTTTGAGTGATTAGCACAATGTTGTTACATATGGACCATTCCATAATGTGTAGATATTATCTATGAGATTCACGTTAATTCCTATGAGCATTCACATATTATATTAATATACATAAAAGAAAAAATGAAAATTGTGGTAGTGGGCTTTCCAAGGGACTTAATGGAGAGGTTTATTGGTGTAGGGTAGGGTACGTGTGTCCCCTTTCATTTCAATTTAAATGTCATGACATGCGTTCAATGCCGATTTGCCACGTATGTGAAAATGTAACCCCTTATGCTCAAGATGAAAGGGACCAAACACTGCATAGTACATATTGCAGTAATAACACTGTTTCTATTCTCTGATTTTCATATTCTACCACTGAGGAGGAATATTCATTCCATTTATAGCAATACAAATTTTATATAAGGTTAAGTATATTTTTATAAAATTTTGATCTAAGTTTTTAAAATTCTTTTATTTAGTTTTAATTTTTTATGTAAAAAAATAAAAATTAAAACATATTTAAAAATTTAAAATATATTTAAACCTTTTTATATATTTTGCAAAAGTATGACATCTCCTTCTACTTAGTGAAATGTTAAGGATCACTCTATAATTCCTCAGGCTTTTGTGTGATGCTCCAAATCCAATATGGTTGGTTGATACAGAGAGATCCAACAGTTCACTAAGTAAAAGGAAATATTAATTTGCTTTTGCATTGTTGGAACTAATGTGAGATGTTTGCAACTTTTCGGAGATTTGAATTTTTCACTTTACACTAATCTACTAACTTAAATGAGGTACGAATTCTAATTTAAGTATGATATATAGTCATAGATCACTCATCACAAGTTATATTATTGCTGCTTAATTTATCATATGGCTAAATTTAGAAAGCTCTATCCTTTAGTAAAAAAAGGAAAGGAGAGAAAATAGAAAAAAAAATATATAATGTGTCGAGGAAAAGCCTCATTTTTATAATTAATTAACATTCTCTCATGGATGAAATTGAGTAAAAATAGACATTTTTAAGCATAAAGACTATATTAATTTTACTTTATATATATATATATGCCCTGAAAATTTCAACTGATAGCTAAAAATTAATTACTTTAAAAACGTAAAAATTACTGAAACTAGTTTTATTTTCTCTAACAAAACATCTTTTTATACACACAGACACAAACCACTGTACTTTTTTTATTTATTTTGTTTTATGTAATTATATCATTCAGTGTGAAGAGTTATCAACAAGTACACCTTATAAATTACACGCACTGAATAATACTTCTGTTACTTCCATTGTCTTTGTCAATACCAAATTAATTTGTTCCAAAATAGAATGCCAAAAGGATAGAAAAATGTTGTAAATCCAACGTGTTAGCAATAATTAAGTAGCAGATTCAATAATAAAATATTGGAAATTATTGGATATATCTTCTAATCTAAGCCTTTACTATCCGTTGGCAACCAATGGTTCATATGTGATGGACCAAACAAAAGAGATGGACCTTAGAGATAAAACCCTATCCTTGAAACTTAGAATTTGTGGCTGTGGATCTGAATCCTGCCACTTTGTTGTATGTGTTGGGCTTATATGCCCACCCCGCAAGCTTATTTTAGTATAGTGTATATATATACACACACAGCAAAACTTTCTTAAAAAAATGAAGTCCCACTTAAATTTATGTTCATTGCCATAAAAATTTTCTTATCTAATTTGCAAAATCATAATGAGTACATCTTCTGCCTTTTTTATTTTTATAATTTTGAATAAGTAATTTAAAAACCACCTTAGCATGGTGGTGTGTGTGTAAATGAATTAGATGCTAATGCCATTCCATGAAATTATGGGAAAAAAGTTGTTTTTCTCTGGAGACTACTCAACCATATAGTAAATGAAGAAAATTATCTCAGGAATTAATGTACCTATAATAAACTGTGCATGGGAGAGAGAAGAAGAGAAAAAGAAACATACATTCTCATCCAAGGCTGCACATGAATCATTGACCATTTGGCATAACAAAAATGCATTGTAGCCATTGTAATAATGATAAAGAAGCAAAGCAACATTGAGAAATTAATGTCAACAAAATTGGTTCAGCATGGAAGGTTTTGCTTTTTGAAGAGATGTGGAAGAAAATGTTAGTGCACAGTGTCTTAGAATTAGGAAAAGAGAAAAGGGTTGAGGTTGGTTTTGTGATGAATGATGGCCAATTCTGGTTGATATATAATACACATTTGTCACCGTGCCATTTGATTTTGATGTCAACATTTAATGTTCATTATGATGAGATTATGTCAACATTTTTTTCATGTCCTGTTTCGGGTACCACAACGGGTTGCACCATATAGATAAAAAAAAATTGAGTTATTTTTATAATTTTAAATGATTAACAAAATATTTATAATAATAAAAAATACATTGAATAAAAGAATAAAGAATAAAGAATAGAAAAAATTAAACTAATTTGAGTTAGGTATAATTCATCATGTTTGAGAATATACAACATAATATCTAACTGATAATTGTCAAGTTATAGTTTTTATTATCTAATTTAATTAAACTTTATGAAAATCTTACATGAAATAAGTTCATCAAAGTTGATGTTGGGCTTCAGGCCCAGGCTCGTATGGGGATTCAGGTATTCCAATTGTTGATAAAAAAAAATGAACTGGTCTATGTGAAGAGCATATTTGATTATTTATTAAACAATTTAGTATGTGTCTATAAACTTTTTTCTTTAAATTATATTTAATTTTCAAGTGAAGATACCAATAAAGGCACTTCAATGCATAAATTAACTCGATAGTGAGAGATAGCATGACATATGTGTAATGGATAGAGTTCGAATTTTGTCTCCATCAAATTCTCACATCTCCCCTATCAATTTTCAATTCCCCTCTCTAATGAAAAATAATAATAATACATAAATTAGTGTGTATTTAAGTATAGTAACAGTATAAAAAAAAAGTATAGCAACATTATATGAAAATGAAAAAGTTTATACATGGCAATGCTAAACATGTCTTTGTTATATGGTTTGAATCTAGTGAGTGTCACACAACCTTGAAGAGTGCATATATGAGTACAATTAGATTCTCTACTATTAAGTCAGCAAAAGATTTAGAAAAATGAAAAATATTAACAATACATTTTTAACTATTAGTTAAAATCAATTAAAAATTATAAAATATGTTAATTTTACTTTTTTTTTCACTCATAGTTTAATATATTTTTTTTGTACTTTTGTAATTTTTAATAAATTTTAATCAAAAGTTATACTATTAAAGTATATTAAATTCAGACTAATTGTTTAGATTTGACTTAACCTAATCCATAAACACTCCTAAAAAACGTCATAATAATATTTACTATTGTTTATGTAAATTTTATCATATTTTTTTATGTTTTTTCTACTTTCACAACATAAAATAAATATAAAGAAAGGGCTGAAAGAACTGATCTTTGGCTCAAATTACATGAAAAATATAAAGAATAAAGGGTTTTGAGAGGGGGAAATCAAGATGTTTCAGCTGCTTACACTTTGTTTTTCAGTATTCTAAAGTGTTTATACTTAAATTTGTATAAGAGTTGTTGTGTGTTTGGACCATATATATGGTCTACCAACAAATAAAGGTAATTAATTCATTTGAAGTTTTAGAATTGACATATTATATTATTGCAAAAATAATTTTATAATAAAGAGAATGATAAGAAGAGAGTTATAAAAAATCAAAGCGTGAAACAGACAATTGAAGTTTTTTTTAATATGAAAAAAAAACTAAATTATAGTGTTTTGAAACAAATTATAGAAATATAAGAATTTTTCTAACTTACTTAAAAAAATTATATTTTTTTAAAAAATTATCGTGGACAAATTTTGAGATTTTTTAACTTTTCATTATCCTATCTCTGAATTTCTATAATTACACAAAAAAAAATTATCATTGGCATATAATTTTGAAAAAATGTCATTGACAATATTTGAACTCTAATTTTATATATATTATTTTTAAATACTATATATATAATTAAAAAAATAAAATTTTTAAAATTATATAAATGGGTATTAGGAGATAAGAGTGGGTCATAAAGGATTAAAGCAACATGGCCTCCATGGAGGGTATATATCTACATTTGATGTTAGCTTATGACCTATTCAATTAAATTAATTAATTATTTAGATTGTCAACTTTGTGATGATTGCATCAATGATCTTTTTCTCCTTCCTCACTTCACTTTCTCTTCATCTCCTTTTTTTTTCCCAAACATTTTCGTTAAATATGTTAGTAATTTATTTATTTTATTTGAAAATAGAACATATTTGAAAGATTTTATAAAAACAACTTAAAATTGATTTTCCTTGATGTCAAATTATATAGTTACGATGAATTATTATCCTTTTCACTATATTATTATTATTATTATTATTATTATCCTTTTTACATGTCACGATTCAAAAGTTACACACACACATATACACGCGGCATATTTCCAGCCACACAATTTGTTAGAAACAAATTTTGTTTTGTTTAGATGTGAAAAAATAATAAAAATGGAAGAAATGGAAAAAGGAAGATGAGAGAAAGAGTAAAAAATAACCAGATTTTTATGTTATTTAAATTAAAATAAAGAGTAAAAAAGAAAGACAAATTTTATCTATTCTTTTGGCTAAATAAAAAATACAAAAATAATTATATTGAATGGCATTGGAATTCTTATAGTATAATATAATAAAATAAAATAAAAATTAAAACATGTTGTCATTTAACACACTTCCATTACCTTTTCTTCCGAATTGAGAAAATCAATTTTTGTTTGAGCACATCAACTTGTTTCTATTATGTCAATCAGAATACTAATTAAAAAAATTAACATATAGTCTTTAAAAAGAACATCATAAACTTACATTAAAAATTATAGAAGAATATATTAGTTATATTTTTCATAAAAGAATTTCATCTTAAATTATTTAGCCAACAGTAAAAGGGATTTATATTAGCTATAGTTAGCATTCTTTTTCTTTTCTCTTTCTGTTCAACTTTGGGTGTCTAATTAATTATAAGATCTTATATTTTATCTTTTCAACATCTATCTTCTGTAATCTCTCACCAACTACCTACGCTTATAAAGAAGAGAAAAAGACAAATTCTTAAATAAACTATAAATTTGTATTATTAAACATATATAAAGAATCTAAGTGGGACCCACTTATCATATGCCACTAACTTAAATGTTGTCTCTTTTTTTCTTCTTCAAAGAGAATCGGGGTCCATCTTTCTTTCCTTAGTCTATTGTTCCAAAAAGCACATTAAAATTAAACTTAATTAAGTAACACTGTAAAGCCAAAAGTGTATTGAAATCCACTTCTAAAACAAAATTAAAATTAAAACAAGTATATAATTAGCAAAAGAACCTCCTAATAACTGTAATTTACATGGGAACATGTTAACAATAATCCACATCTCATTAATTTTCTAGCTTTGTAACTGAAAATTTTCAAATATGTACGAGTATAATTATTGTTATTATTATTACTAATTACTGCTAATATTGGAATAATAAAGAAAATAAAATATCAAAAATGCAAAGGGAAGCCTTTGCCCATGGCGTTGAGACTAACACAGAACCCAACCAAGTCTTGGCGATACGGCAAATACGATTTTCTCTTATCCACTCTTCTCATCTCCCTGTTCCTCACATACAATGCTTCGTGCGCCGACACCGCCGGAATCCTCTTCTCGCTGCCGGAACTCGCCGGGATCTTTTTTTCGGCCACCGCACCACCACTCTCATCTTTCGAATTCTCCCCTCTCTTCTTCCCCCGATTGAACCCTGACACCGACGACGACGACGGCGTCAAAAACACGAACGATTCCTTCCCCTCGCTGTTGCTCCGCCGCAGCAAATTCAGAAGCTTCCAGCGCTTCGACGACGACGATCCCGTCGATTTGCTCTTCTTGCACCGATTCGGCGACGATTCAACCGGCTTCGGAGTCCATACGCAGTAAGTCCCCGCCGGAATGGCCTCCAGTTCGTCCTCCACTTCCGACGACGACGAGGACGGCGAATCGTCCATCATGAGCTTCCCGAGCGTGATCTGAATGGCGGCCGCATCGTCCTCCGCGGCGGCGGAACGGTCCTCCTCCGTCGTCGTTTTGAGGTCGCGGTTGAAGATCGGGAAAGCGGGACTAGCGTCGAAGAAAACCCCGTCCGCGACCTTGCGAAACGCGACGAACTCGAAGTCGTTTTCGGCGTCGTCGTTTGCATCGAAACGGTGGTCGTTTTGGTGGTGTCGTGTGACCTGATCCGCAACGTCGTTGAGTTTGTTAGAGGAATAGGCGCTGAAACTTGGACACAGAAACGAGTCCACACTCTCTGCTTCTTCTTTTTCTTTCTGCATTTTGATTCTTAATTTAATTGAATTTTGGTTTGTTTCGTTGTTGTGTTGTTCTAAGGATTAAGGAATATGAAATGGGTTTGGTGTGATGCTATTTATATAGCAACGAGGAAGGTTGAAATAGCAGCAGCCTCTGCCACCGTGTCTCTACCACTACAATGGATAATCATATCAATATCATATTATTAAGAAACTTCTTAATCAACCATTAATATATCACAAATGCTTCACAGCTTAAAGGATTAAAAGTATTTTAAATTTATGTAATAATTAATATAAAAATCATATTTACAGTATATTTTAATTGGTTAATAATGTATAAACTTTTGTTAATTCTTATATTATATAATATTTACTAGAAATTGAAAATATATATATCTATTTTAAAACTACTCCTAAATATTTATTTAGAGCATTGATTAGTAACATTTGCCTAATAGTAATGGGTGACGCTTTAGTTTTTGTCTTGTGCGTTTATATTTATTGCTAGTGATTAATTCATTATGTAGATATGTTCCTTTCTTGCCTTGTTTCACACGCCTTGACCGTGTATCATGTTTACACTATTACTATGGCATGCATATTGTCAAACTAAACCATTTTTTTTAATTTCGTTAAGTTTAAAGTTATAACATTAGAAAACTACATTAAATTAATCTTTAAAAAATAATAAATATCACATAATTTAATGTATCAATAATATCAAATATTGTAAACTCTATTTTATTTTTAAACATATAAAAAAATCTATTAATTTATTTTATATTTATTTTGTCAAATTTAGTTTTCACACAGCAACTAATACATTTGTGTTTTACCAATAGTTTTCTTGCTTGCACCAATTTGGTGCAAAGTGTCTTCCACTAAAAGGGTATAATTATGATAATTACGTTTTACTTAGTGTGAGCTAATGGAAAGTGGGTGATTTAGAGAGAGAAGCGAAATAAATGAGTATATGTGCATTTTGAGACAAATGGAAGTCTCGATCAAGAGCGGTGCGATATAAATTAGGTATCTTCGTTTGTGTGTGTGACACATGAAACTGGCAAATTGCATGTGGATGGTTGCATATTCTCTAGAAAAAATTTCTAGATTTTATGTCAATAACACTTTTTAATATATTTTTTAAAATATATATTAATTATCTATTAAAATTTATTAAAAACTACGTAAGTATTATTTAATATTTTTTCTCGTATATTAAATAAATGTGTTGAAAAAAATATGTTCTTACCATTTTCAAGCCAAATTTAAGTTTAAGGGGTTGGTTGATGGGAGAACTTTCAATAAATGGTTGGGTTTAGAGAAGAAAAACAAAAGGTTCTCTCGCTATCACCTATGGCCTATTATAGTAAGAAATCTTATGAATTAGATATGAGTTATGTTTTTAAGATGTGTGTTTGTGAGTTTCGTTAGACTTATCTTTAAATTTCCCTACGAAGTGTTATTTTCATGACTAGGTTTTTTGTTTTTTGGTATTCCTGTCGGAAGATTTTTAAGTTTTAGTGAAATTTAAAAATATAAATTAAAAAAGGTGTTCAAAATATCAAAATATATGTACATAATTAATTTATGTACATATATTTTAGCGAAATAAATTATTGTTTGATTAGCTTTCATTAATATAATTTTTTAAATGAAAATTGAATTGCTAATACGATTATTATATTAACAATAAAATTAACATATAATATCGATAATATAATGTAAAGTACATTAATCATGATAATAACTTTTTATTATGATGAATTAAACAAATTCTACTCACAATTCATGGTTGTACTCTTTCATTCCAATTTTAACAATGTGTAATGTAAATATAAAATACGATTTGCAACCATAGATGATCAAATAACAATATTAATTTTTTGGTTCATATAGCAACTTGAATAGTTATCAAATTCCCTGAACAACTTGAACTGTGTGCGTAGCTACTTTGACTAGATATTTATCTACATTGGAAATTTTCAACCATAATAGGCCTAGCCAACCTATGGTATATGATTACATCAGTTCCTTTGTTGAAATTAAACAAAAATTATAATTAAGTAATTTTTTTTATGAGTTTAACTCACCAATGTTCAAATTCGACTAAGATAAAATTACTAAAGAAAACAAAGCTCTCTTTATCAAAAATTTTATGATAATAACATTAGTTTTATTATATTTAGGTTCTGTTTGTTTTAGTATATTTAGAGTAAAAAGAATTGAGACAAAATGATTTAGAAATTGAATACAATGGAATAAAGTGAAGTAAAATTAATGGAAAGGAATGAAATAAATCAAATATTTTATTGTTTAAATATTTTAACAATTAAATGAAAAAATATGTGATTTTAATTTCATACCTCCAAACTAAAAGATAAAGAAAGAGGTTGGATATAATGAAATAGACAAAAATCAAATTTGAATCAATATAAACTAGTTTAAATCAAATAGTCTTGGTGGTGTTGAATGTTGAAAAGCAATAAGTAAAATAAATCCAAATATCAAATGTATTAAATATAAGAGTAGGTGAAAGGTTTAATACCTTTGAATAATTTTGAGAGTTGTACATAAATTAGTATATTTTAAATAGTACATTGCAAGCATATCATAATTAGTCCAAAAATTTTCATTATCTTAGGGGGGAAAATAGGTCAATTTGAGAATATATCCACTCCAATTCATTATTTTATATTGCATATTAAATCAATTTATCATATTAATTAGATAATTAGCTTGTTAGGTAAGGTTCTAGATATCATCCTAATGAAATATTATAAAATGGAAGGAATCGTACGTTCTGAGATATAATTTACTTACGAGTGTGAAATATATCCATAATTTTGAATTGGGTTTCATGATAAATAAATGGGGTTGGAATTTAAAAGAGATAATTAATTAAATCTTGCCCTATATTCTTTTAGTATATTATGCCATAATTCTAAAATGAACACTATAATTAGATGTTTTCTGCCTTTTCTTTTAAATGATTATTAGTTATATCATGTGTTAATTTTGGTTACTTGTTTAATTACACTGACTAATTGACCAAAAATTGATTTAAAGATAATTTACTTGTATTTGTTTTTATTTATTGAATCTGAATCTCGTTCTTAAATGAAAACATTTTTAAAATTTATTTTAAAGTAAAACCTTTATAAGAATTATTTTCTTTTTCTCATGCTACGTAACCTTTTTATATTACGCATTTTTAATTTTTAATTTTTAATTTTTAATTTTTAATTTTTTATAATTTATTTCTTAATTTGAAAATTCTCATTTTTTAATATTATTCAAGTTTAACAAAATTATATGCTATTAATAATAAAAATATTTTTTTATTTATATATGTTATTAAATTTTAAATAAATCATATAATGTAATTTTAATTTTTTAAAATTATATCAATTTAATAATACCCTATAATGTACGGAAACTCACCGGTATTTAATATTTACTACTTGGGCATCGTGTGATCTAAATGCACTATAAAATTCCAAATATTTATAAAAACAAACAATGAAATTCAATTATCTTCGTTAACATAAATTTTATTTGATAAAAATCAAATTATTGATATAATGTAGGTTTACGTTTATAATATTGTAAAATATATTAAAAAATAGTCCCGTGTTTTTAAAAAAAATTATATTTTACATTGTCAATTCATCGTATTATTAGCATGTAAAACTAATCACGTTATTAACATGAATTTATATTATCTTAATAATTCAATATTTATTGTATAATTTTTTACTAATAAAGCTTACAACAAATATCTTTTTTTATTATTATATAGATTCTGTGTGCATTGAATTGAACACAGCTAACATCAATATTTATTGTGTTTTATTTAATATAGTTATAGATAGTTATTGAGGTAACAAGTACAAGTGAAATAATATTATGTTGAATATGAATGAAGAAGTTTAGTAATAAGTGACAAAAACTTATAATTTTGGTGTTTTAAAACTTTGAATTGAACATGATATCTAAATTTATTAGTATAATTTGCTGATAGTAATAAAAATTTTTCAGCATTTAGATCTTTGGTATATCAAATTCGTTTTTGAATAATTTTAAAACCATATATCATATCTGGTAGAGATTTTATGATAGTGACAATGTAAATCTTGATTACATGAACTAAATGAACTAATTGTTGCCTAATGGAGACAACTCAACATTAGTTATGCATATCCATCATCTAACTGGCTCATGTTTTATAAAAAAAAATGTGTCTGTTTCTCAAAATAATAATCTCCGGTTTTCTTGTGATTTTGAGTGATTTTAGGAATTTCTTCATCTTGAAGCTATATCAAAGTTTGTTTCTTTGGTAGAAAATCTTTAGGTTGATTTTAAGTAATTCTAAAAAAATAAAGAATATTACATCAATGACGTAAAAGTAATAATATTTTTAATAAAAATATTATTATTTAAAATTACCATAAAAACTTATATTAACAAAATCGAATAATTTATATCAAGAACCTTGTCAACTCAAGGAGCACGATTTTTCAAAGAATTCATTGTTATTTGTCTTGTGCATGTGCATGTGATATTATTCTTAAAATATATATTTATGTGATAGGTTTTCATAATTAGTAGTGCATGATTAGTGCTCTCCTGAATCCTCATAGCCTAGCTCTGTCACAACTCATCTATGTGCCATTCTCTATTTGATGAATCAGTGTTTATTATCAGAGTGTCTTCATGCTTATAATAGTGTGCCCAGGTTTTATAAGGTGCCATTGTTTCTTTTTTATTATTTTCTAGCTGATGGAAGATCAAGAGACACTTTCTAACATTTTTAATGATATAAAAAATAGTTTTAATAAAATTTTAGAAACAATTATAAAAAAATTGACAAAAGGGTCAACACATAAATATATATATATATATATATATAAAATCAGAATTTACGTAATTTTTTTTACTAATTAAGCTGTGTTAAAATGTTTCACATTGATTAGAAATAATTTGATAATGATTTAAGACTAAATTTTGTAACACTTTTT